TGACAAGGATAAGCGGAAGAGAATGGATGGATGGATTTTCAAAAAACTTTGAATATTTTGGCAATTATTTCAAAGTTTAGGCTTTAAGGGTTTTAAGGACATTTTTTTTTTAACTACAACCTGTTCATGGTTTTAGTGTTTTAAATCAGTTCACAAAAAATATTGTTACTTTGCGCAGGTAACGCCTTTTGTTTCCAGAACCTACACTGGTGTCAACTTTTTCTTCTTTGCTAAATAGCACAGAGCCAGTTAAACAGTGTGTACATAGATGGAAATAGAGTACAAGTACACCTGCACCTTATTACACAGCATTGTGTAGTTACCATTAGAGTGAAGTTCATAACAGATGCTGTTTGTCCTGTCGTCTAAAACAAAGTCATTCAGCGTTGCAAAGAAAAATTACATATAGCTTTTTCCCCCTTGTTTTTGTTTTGCTGAAATAACGTCATTTATTCCTGTGTATTTTCTCTAAGTTTGAAATGAACTGTGCCTTTTTAGCATTGTATTATAGCGAGAGAGAGACACAATGTTTGCCAATATGTTTACCGTTAACGATCCTCTATTTTTGGTCCTCTTATGTTTCTATGAAAAGAGCTTGTAAAGGATTGCAGTTTGTTTTTCTGGTGTTAAATTTCAAAATCAGAACAAAAAACAAAACAAACAAAAAAACTAACTTAATGTGAAATATTTAGCAATTTCTTTCAGGTAATAAGTGAAACTGCAAGCATCTTGCAAATGATGAATAATGATTGCAACCTGCAAACAACAGCCTCCCTCAAACAACCTGCAAGTTACTGAAACATACTGAGCTTCACCAAATTGGTAACCTTCCTAAGCAGCAAGATGTTATTCCACTGTACAATGAGTTTGGCAGTTTAGTATCAATACTGTAGCAGCGTTCCACAAGAACTGCACTCAATACTGTGGTATGGTGGAATCGTTAAACTGAGATGTGTTAAAGTCAGGTAAACAAGCAAAAGAAAAAACAGACCTATGAGGCATTGAGGTCTCCCTTTTTAGCAGGGTAAAGTTTGGTTAGGTTAAAAAAACAAAACAACAATAAATAAACAAAAATAAAACCACTGACATTTGACATCATAGTGATCTACAAAAGCCTACCATCCTGTGGCGGAGGACAAGTGGGCCACAATCATCGCGCTCTCTTAAAGGGAGGAGAACCTGCACAAAAGATCAACTGTTAGCCTGCTTGCATTATATACTGGACTTAAACTAGTGTGTCTGTGTCTTGCTTCTATTTGTACCATCAGCCTCCCCAAGACAGGTCTCTTCACACTCCTCCAGGTGAAGGAAACGGTTGTCATTTCCTTCACAGCCGCTGTAGATGAAGGGCCTGCAGGCTTGAGCCTGTCTGTTAAAATACCAGCGCATAGTGTACTTTCCACAGCTTCCCTCATCCATGGGCAGCAAGCACGGGTCTGCTGGAGCTGCAGAACACATGCATACATGTAAAACTTGTGCATATATAGACACAAAGAAAACAAGACCAAGGCAGCCCAGGCAAACAGGATCAGTGGGAATAAGAAGCAGCAGGAAACAAGATCATGAGATTGTCAAGCCAATCTATTTATTTCAACACTTCTTGTTTCCAAAGCAACATATTAACACTTCTTTGTTTTTGCCTTATTTTGTTGGATGCATGCTTGTCTTAAATAATACTGTATGACACCCTTAAAAAAAACTAAAAACAGACAACAGCAGAGCAGCCAATGCACCCAGAGACATACACAGAGAGACAGACACCAGATGGCCAGTAGTAAGGATGAATAAATCCCCAAACAGGATGACGAATGAGCTGGTTTACCTTCCCCTTTGACTCTCCTCTTGGACCTGACTGTTCTGGACTTGACTGCTTTCAGATGTGTAACTTTGACTGCTTCCTGACCATCAGCTGTTGCCTGATCGTCAGCACTTGCTGATTTGTTAGGTTCAACTCTGACTGTTTTCTCAGATTTCTTTCTGTCAACCTCACCTGTCGACGCACACACAGACACACCAAAGAAACACAGCAAACAGCACAGACAAGGTCAACAGAAAATTTCTAAACACAATGGTAACAATGATAATGGGGGACAAAGACTGAACAATCCATGTTGTCAACATGACAGGTCACAGGCTCTGGATGGTGTGGGCTTGTAGTAGGCTGTGTGATAAATACTCAAGGGCAATAGAGTCTCATTATGATGAAATAAAAACAAATTGAAAAGCAGGCACATAAGATAAGCTGCTTCACCAGCACAAACTCAATTATGGCTTCAAAGCATAAATTTGGCATGCCTTTTTGGGTTTAACACGTGAAACAGAAAATTGTGTAGCACATATAATACATTTGGCAAAAGTCAGGGTCATAGTTACTGACTAAAAGTGACTTTTTCATAAGTATAATGACAGCCACTATAGTCAAATGAAGATTATTAAATCCCCCTGCGGTCATTTTTATTTGGTGGCGTGGAAGCATAAGGTGCGGAGCACAGCATCAGGGGTTCCTTAAAGGGGATTTATACTTTTGTGCTAATCTCCTGCACTGTAGATATGTCGTAGACCAAAACTTTCTGAATGCCAACTCTATAACCTGATCTGTACCTCACAGTAACTACTGTGACAAAATGGCACTGTCAATGCAGCTACACAATGATGTCAGCTACTCCCCTCATAGCAAAATTGGTATGGCCTGGATCAGGCCCACACAATGTGCTTACACATGGCCCACATACCGCAAAGAATGACGGCCCTTTGGTGGCCCAGATCTGGTTTGCCAGATGTGGCCCACACATGGGCCAGCACAAGGCCAGTTGCAGACACACTGGTGGTCCTGTGCTGGCCCATGTGTGGGCTACCTCTGGTAAACCTGATCTGGGCCACCAAAGGGCCGTCAGTCTTTGCAGTATGTGGGCCATGTGTAATTTGTGTGCAGCCACGGGCCGGTTGCAGACACACTGCTGGCCCTGTGCTGGCCCAGAACAGTTTCAGCTCTGGCCCCAGATGTCAGCCTAATGTGTACCTTAATCAAGCCATGTAATAACAACATGTGCAACATGCAAAACAATGCAAAAGTAACATGACAAAACCCTGTTCAAACAGTAAATGGACTGATTCTTATATAGCGCTTTTCTAGTCTCCCGGATTACTCAAAGTGCTCTATAGAACATGCCACATTCTCCCAATCCCACACTTTCTCTAAACCGAGTGCTTCCTAACTACACACTTGGAAAAACAGAAGACCAAAATTACAGCGACTATGCCCAGCGATTTGTGATCTCCTTGCTTTTGAAATGGTTGCTTCAAAGATGGGGACTAAGTCTGTGCGTCAAGACAGTAAAATGATAAAAAGACGGAGTTACACTTGTTTTCTATGTTATAACTTCACTGTTCTGACGGACCAAAAACAGCACAAGTGAGAGTAGCCCACAAACCAGCTGTGCCACATACTTTGAACACTGCTTTCATCAACAGTGGATGCTCTCTGCCAGCAGACCCGTTATCCATGAACTGCCAGCAGACCGCGATAATGCTACCACTGCTGAACTATGATTGCAGCTTTAGTCTAACTAATCTTTACTAGTTTGAGTCAAATTGACAATTACATGAAATGTTTGTCTGATATTACAGTGATTAACTGTGATAAACTGGAAACAGTTGCGAACATGTTGCAATCTGATGTAAATGTCTTGCAGTATACATCCTAAAAGGTATTTATTAAGACGTATTCTGGATCTCTATACCAGTTATGATGGTGCAGAATCAAATCACAGCTTAAATTAATGTGCACAGTTTTCTCAGTCTCATGGTTTCTCTTCAGACACAAGTGATGAATTCAAACAGAACAAAAACAGTTTAACATGCAAGAAGTAACCAGTTGCCACTATTTAATCTGCTGCGCCATTTAACTTTAAGATAATGTCAATGTTCAGTATCAATTACATTAAGACAAGAAATTTAAAGACACCCTTAGTAGCAAGGGTTTCTAACTACGGGACATGACACACAGGTGCCCTAGTGCATAACTGCAATCCTCCAAGTTGAAATAAAAAGCAGAAGATCTCACTTTTGGAGGCAACTCTTCCAACAGTTTCAAGATTTCCAGCCACACACTGGCAGTATGTCTGCTTTCAAGAATTAGACAGTGAGTATTTGCAAACCTTCACCTATCTGTCTGTGAGAGGTTGCAGTAAGTCTGAGTTAGGCCGCTATTGTTTGACAAAACTTTTGAAAACACGTCGCCTCCAGTGAGGTGACCTGTGCAATTCTCCTGCAATCTAAACTGGTTGCCACAATTACTTGCAATCGGTCACCAACAACAAAAGAATTCAGTGAAATCATTTGGCAACCACTGACTTTTCCTAGTCACGGAGAGACTGCCATCCTGTTTTTACTATGGTGTAATGGAGGCTTAAAAAACAGACTATGACACTGATTAATTCAGACATAGCATGAGTTGGTGAGATGGGTTTCCAATTGGTTTGCAGGAGCAACTTTAGGCAGAATAGATGCAGTTTAATCACTGTGCTCTCTATGAGGTTTGCCAAGTGATTGCATAGAAAGCTATCAGCTGACACACCATCACTCCATTATATAATGTGGTTATATTCAGTCATGATGGCCAAAAATGTTAATTTATTGCTGAAGCTGAGAAGTTGAAGGATACTGTTCTCTCTTCACCCATGTCTGCGATACTAAAGCATGTTACTTCAGGAAAACACTGGAAATAGTGTAAAACAGAAATTACCATCACTCTGGTTGGCCGAGGGAGACGTGAAGTAGAGCATCTCCTCCAAGGGGTCGTCATAGGATTCGACGGAGTAGACATGCTCGTAGTCTGGGTCATTGGTATTTACCACCATGTGCAGTTCACGGCCTGAAAGAAGAGCAGCATCAGGCAGGATCATCAGAGACATCAATGACAACCTCTAATTTTTTGGACTGAACGAGGCCTGAAAATAACTGACCTCAGTAAAACAAGGCCCATACTCTACCAGTGTATTTTTCTTTATGTAATCAGACGTATATATTATTTTGTCGGTAGAACAGAAATGGAGTTCTCTGTTTTCTTGATGAGAAAACCACCCAAATGCTCAGAGTTCTCCAAATAAAGGACGACCAGTTAAATGTGCTTGTTAGGACAGATACATGGACAGACTGGAAGGAAACACTCACCCTCCTCACCCTTCAGCGCCAATTGTTGCTCTGGTGTAGGCAGAGCCCTGACTGGCGGGTACCGAATGTTCGGACCTGAACCTGGGAGAGCCAGATAGGACAGGGACACCGAGACAGGCACAGGCAGAATTCAGAAAGCAGGAGGGACAGGGAAAATGTTACACAAGGGAGAAAAGGGGAGTTGAAAAAGCAAAATGGTGAAAAAAAAAGAGAGGACAGAACATTCTGGTAGTAAAACATAAGCCAACAACAACCCCAAAGTACCAAAAAAATCATTCCACCATTCCAACACAGACACCAGCTTAAAGGATTCATTGAGTTTTTGCAAGACTTTGTCACTGTAGGAAAAGCTCACAAAACGGGTTTTAATCCTTTAAGGACTCAAGTCAGTGCTATAAAGACTTGTGTCACTCCAGTCAAAAGTGACTGTAAACTAAAACTATTACAGAGTTGTTCAATATTAAACATGCAGCTATTTCTTAGATAATAATACATCAGCTAAACATGAGGTAAATTTTGTGTTGGCCTCAAACTTGCATACTGTATTTATTAACAGCCTGCCTCACCAACACTTATCTCATGCGGGTGCTGCTTCATAACACTGATGTGGTCTTGCATTGATTAACAGCTTGAGCAACAAACACATTAGTGCAAACTCTGGGAAAGTTTATCAGTGGCGGTTCACATCAGATTTGATTCATTTACTTTAGCATATTCCATGTTATTTACTTTTACAGAAATATAATAAATCAGGTATTAAAAATCCCCAAACAGGACAAAAATGAAAGATTTTTTCAAGATTTATCTGAAGAAGCTGAACAAACTTTCAGTAAAATTATTTCGTGAAAACCACTGATATTATTTATACCATCATCTGTTAAAAAAAAAACTTCAGTAAACACCTTGTTGCTCACGGTGGCTTAAGGTGCAGACTTCTAGTATTTTTTTTCCGAGGGACTGAAAAAAAATAGTGCACCGATTTCTGCAATGACCAAATTCCACCAATTTTTATACATTATCTTATTTTGTATCCTATTATCAGAGACTCAAGATCTCCAATTACACTTGGAGAACAAAATTCAAATGTTAAAAAGAGTTTCATGACCAGGTCTGAACCATTTCTTCATTATTTCTTCCTATTTTTATGCAGGAAAAGGTCTGGAAATGATTGCAAGTGTGGCATTTACATTAGGCAGCAGTGGCCACAATGCACCAAATAGCTCCCAATGCAAATAAAAAAGGGCATGCTTGCAAAAACAAAGTAAATCAATCATCCAGCCACTGTTAGGAGTCTCAGAATAAATAGCTTGGTGCATACTGACAAAAAGAACATACTAGTGGGCTAGACTATTTAAAAGCCAAGCATAGCCACACAAGATAATAGTAATTGATAAGTGCAGGGTCTCATTTATGTTGAAGAAAAACATCGCCACAACATTTAGTTAATTGAAGAATATTCTCCAAGAAATGGGGATATTGTTATCACCGTAAACAGAAGTCTTCACAGGAGAAAATATAGATTCACCAGAAGTTGCAAACCATTTATAAAACTCAACAATAGAAAGGCAAGGTGATGCATGAGCACGAATAGGGTCCAAGGACACTGAGTCATTGTTTATTGATGACATGACAGAAGGGAGAGGCAGCTGGGTGAATTTGGAAGTAGATGTAAAGAGTCAAAAAGAAAGTTTTCAGTCCTCTGATAAAGTAAATGCATCATTACTGGATAAGTAGCAGCAAGGTGCTGATAATCAAATGCACTGTTGTAACTGATCATCAGTAAGTGTGACCACATCTATGAAGGCGTACATTTTGACGTCTGGAGCTTTCAGATGTGTTTTAACACAATGCCACCATTTTCCTATAAGCAAATTCACCCCAGGGTCAAGCATGGCAGCTAAGCTAAACCTGAACAAACCACATACGTAAAAACAGAAAAAAATCGCCGATGTTGGCCATAATACACATTGTCACGTTTGTAGAAAATCAAACACAGCATATCACCAAAAACACCAAAAATGTGGACCTACTATCTGCTGCACCTGAGAACACACCATTTATACTGTATATTTGAGTATGTGTATGCTTCCTTGCTAATGTTGCCAGCATATTTTGTTTTTTATCCTTATTTTAGCTAATGTTGTTCACTCACTGCATTGTAGGGAAGTGAAAGAAAGGAAAAGAGGTAATGCACATGGAAACAAGATATAGTCTAAACCTTCATGCAGCCCACTTATTCAGAACGAATGCAGTTGAGGTGCTAAACAAGACAAAATGTACTTTTTGTCTTTAGCAGATCAGAATCAGAATCAGAATCAGAATGGGGTTTATTGCCAGATGTTGAGGTTTACAACATTAGGAAATTGCTGCGGTGCTTCAGTGCAAACAATAAGAATTAAAGTGCTATGTAGAAAGAAAGATACCATGTCACCATCTATCTATAGTGACATATGTGTTACACTATATTACTGTGACTCATGCTAAATCATAGTCCTTCTGTCAGCTTTTTTTTCTGTTGCAGTTGAATGGCTCACTCACCTCCGCACGCTGAGCATCAGACAGATGGACAGGAAGGAAGCACAAAGAGAGGGGAATAATAAAGGTCAGTTTAAACAGTCAAGTACGGTCACTACGGTTTCCAACCGCTCTGATGGAATTATATTTCCTCAAAGTTTAGCCATGGCTGTGACTCATGTGCTGTGATTAACATCTGAAGTTCGACTTGAGGACAACGCTGATATAAATTAGCAAAGGGAGTGCATGTAAGACTCACCACAGTGCTGACTCATCTCTGAGCGAACATACTCTCTGATCTCTTCCTCCTGAACCCAAAATAAGAAAGAAACAGGGCAAAACACGCTTAGCAAAGACAACCCCGGTATCCACTCCAAGTAAAACTGTGTGTGTGTGCGTGCGTGCATGTGTATCGTTTGATGTCTTCGGATTACGCCCCTGCGGTAAGGATCAAGCACTGACCGTCATGCCTGCCTCTCCTCTGTCTCCCTTGGCTCCATCTGGGCCCATGTCTCCCTGCAACATGGACAGGTATTAGGACTTATACGACCCACAGAGAGGCTTGCAGCGCATTAATTCATTAAAGTGAGACCAGGTGCTACACATGAAAGAACTTCACAGTCAAAGTGGAAGGTTAAATCAACAATAGTGACTTAAGCTCTTAATACACAGGACTAGTATTTCTTGGGAACCTCTAATAATTAGTGATAACTAATATATGCCAATTCTACAAAACTGTTTGTTCAGCAGTGTTTACTTTATGCTGCTTGCAAAGTAATATAGCTAATCACATTTAGAAAAGTAAAAAAGAAAAGAAGAAGCTGAAGATGTTTATATGATTAAAATGGCTCATTTTAGCCTGTTTCAATGTGTTTGCTAGGCATGCATAATTCAACTTTTGTGCATATAAATGAGATGTTATTGTCATGAACTTGAAATGATGGGATGCTTTCATAAAGTGTTTTAGCTGCATAAAAGCTAAAATAAAATTGCTAGGTGGTTGCCAGGCATTATAATGTATCATGTTTAATTCAACTTTTGTGGATAACAATTACACGTTACTGTCAGGAAACACAAATGTGATGCTTATAATAAGGTGTTATAAGGTGGATTTTGTTGGTGACCAATTCCTAGAAAGAGTGAGTTCAAATCCAAACATACTGAACTCTTGAAGAATGATTTGAATGAGGAATGACAACATTTATTGCAGCATTCTTCTGTAGGGAACATCAAAAATGGAGGCCAACAGCACAATCAAGAAACAGACGGAGACATGTTTGACAACTGACCGGCTCTCCTCGCTCTCCCGGGATTCCTGGGATACCACGCGGACCAACTGTGGCAGGGCCAATTGGACCTCTCTCCCCCTGACGCACACGCAAAACAACATTAATATAAAGTACATCCACAGTGGAAAGCATTCACCTAACTACCTTGTCCATTGCCCACATGATAAACAAACGGCATCTGCTTGTCTAGTTTTTATCAGTAAAAGCTGTCATTACCTCAGCCAAGAAGGGTACATTTTTGGTAGCATTTGCATGCCTCTTTGAGTGTCCTCAATCTAACTATAAATGTGACAGCTTGGATTCTAATAAAACTTTGCAGGTATGTGGAGGTCATGTTAACAATCCATTAAAATTTGGCTTACATCTACCAAGGTCTTCAAGGTCAGCTTAAGGATTTATTGTATGATTCATTTATTCTATGATTCTTAGTGTGTGGTGTGTAAGGTCAACATATAGAAACTACCATGTAAAGATCTAAAATGTCAAGTCACATTTGAGCTTTGACCTCTGCTTCAATGCCAATAGTTTGCTCTACAGACCTATTTATAACTATGTTTCTTACTACCACTGTTTCTACTGACAACATTCAGGGATTTAGGACACGATGGTAAGTGGACTGATTCTTATATAGCGCTTTTCTACTCTCCCAGAGTACTCAAAACACCACATTTACCCAGTCACACCCATTCTCACAAGCACTACCTCTATACTGAGTGCTTTCTAACTACACTCACACACATTCATACTTCGATGGATGCATCGGAAAGCAACTTGGGGTTAGTATCTTGCCCAAGGACACTTGGCATGCAGACTGGAGGAGCCTGGGATCGAGGTGTAGTAGGTGACCTGCTCTACCTCCTGAGCTACAGCCACCCTCACCCACGCGATTCCTAAATACTTTGCACCTCTGACATGTTCAAGGTCAAATAAGGTCAAACATTTATAAAATGTATTTTTTCTTTTTATTAATGACCTAATCCTACATAATGACAGCTAGAAACTGAGCTGCCTTGGTGGAGGTTTGATGTCTCCGAGTGGTTCTTGCTGATATTCTATCTCTACTGTGTCTCCGGACAAGAAGCAAGACGAACATTAGTGTGTTGATATACAGGAAAATAACACGACAGGCCTAGACAAGAGTGTCTCAGTTTGGGAAAAAAAAAAAAGCCTCTATCAGCAACATTTGGTTTTGCTCCATTGTCAACAGCTTTTCTTTTTTTTTTCCTTGATAATAAAGCAGACAAACCAGTCAAGTACAGGGCTCATCAAGCTGTCAATCATCATGAAGCAATACACAGAAACAAAAAAATGTGTCAAGTAAAGAAGAAAAAGTAAGAAAAAAACTAAACACAATGAAAGAGAAAGACAAAAAGAAAGTGTTCTCTATATATAAAGCTTGCATCATATTTTTATGACAAAACTGTCATCATCTTTCATCTTTGTTGGCACCACATTACTCGAGACGCTTGGGTGCAGCTATTTTTTGCAAACAGTGACATAAGTGATACGTTCGTCTATTCTTTCTTCTGTTATACACATTTTTGTTTCTACTGAAAATTCTGCACAGTCACACTTAATGACGTAAAAATGAACTGTGATATAAATAATTTAAAAAAAACACCATACTAATATCACAGTCCTACATCCTCGTTCATAAAACATGTGGCCAAAGTGTGGAAATAGAAATCATGAAGCCAAAGAAAGAATAGTCACCTTTTGTCCCTGGAGCCCCTCGGGGCCCTTAGCACCAGCTGGCCCTTGTGGGCCGGTCAAGCCGGGGCTTCCATCCGCCCCTCTGGGACCTGGAGGACCAGGTACACCAGGTAAACCCTACGTCAAACACAGAGACTGTTATTTTTATGTTTCTGTTGTTGTGAGGATGAACAGTGGCGCAGAATCTGTAGATTAGGTACATCACATGGCTAAAGGGAGTACTCTAATTTTAGATTTGTATGTTTAATGTGAGAAACTCACCCTTTCACCTTTCTCTCCCTGAGCTCCTTTGGGTCCTGCAATCCCATCAAAACCACGGTCACCCTACATCCACAAAGAAAAATGACTACACTGTGCATTTGCACTGGAATATGGATATGAATATGGAACTTGAGTATGTGAAGAGCACAAACCTTGGGACCAACTAGTCCCTCTTTTCCAGGGATCCCCGGGGCCCCAGAAGGTCCGATGTCCCCCTACAAAACAAATGATGATGACCACTCTTAACAAAGGACACAAAGACATCCACACACCACACAATGACTTATTTCTTCAAATATTAGGCATACCTGTTCACCCTTTCTCCCTGGTAGGCCTGATCTTCCATTGGCACCAGAATTTCCCTGAAAATCGCACACAGCCATTATGCTCCACACCATAAATACAAAGTGCAACCTAACCTAAAGAAATGTAACATGTAACCACGTCACAGCAGCAGAGTAACCACCAAGCAGCTTTAAGTACCATCAGCTTTTAACTAATATTAACATGATGTATTTGGTTAACTCATTATTTAAAAAACAAAAAGAAAACACAAAGCTTCAGAATTATTAAGTATAACTAAACAACTCCTCCGTTCATCTTTACATCTTTATTTCTCTTCTTTCTACCATTTCCCGTTTCTCTGCCTCACAAACTCACCTTTTCTCCCTTGGGTCCATCGCCTCCACAAATTCCCTTGGGTCCTCGGTCACCCTGGAAACACAAAAGTTTTTCACTGACAGACATAAAGATCTTTTGTGAGCCACAAAGTGCAAAAACCAGCAAGGCAGAAAGCCCATCCACTCACACCGTTCATTTACCGAGCACTCACTGTGCACACGAACAAGCACTTTGTGCAGCATATTTCCTACAAAAACAGATATGATGCAGACCTTTGTGCTTTTTCTTTTTTCTCCTTGCAACGGGTATTCAGATAAAAATGTAAAAGTATGTAAAAGCAAATGTGACCAAACAACTGCAGCGCATTCTGAGAACTGCAGTTAATGTCTCGGACTCCCGTAAATCAGCATGTATGACTCTGATTTCGATTTGATTTCTACAGATGCATATGGAGAACTCGGGTGATCTCCATTTCTAAATGTCTCCTGTTGTTATTGTTGACATCCAGCTTACCGTTTTCACCATCACCAAAATAGTCTTTTGAAACCACAAGTCACAAATGAGGGGGGACGTCACGGAGAAACCAACATTCACACTTCACGATCATGAGCTTGTGACTTAGGTCAGTTAAGTATACTCTGTATATTCATGTTTAATGTATGGCTTTGGGCACTTGTTGCTGTACCTATCCTGACTTCCTCGGTGCATACTGACAATTTGGAGCAAAAAATATCAAATTTGGATTCCTTACTCCATAAGACCTCTCATCACTGATTTTCAGTGCAGTTCTTGTGTAATCTGGCATACCTCAGTCTGTTTCCCCTCCTTAAGAATGGCTTCTAGACAGCCATCCTTCCACATGAGACCATGTCTGAAGAGGCTTCAGTGAACAGCAGATGGATAGGCTGAAGGGCCATATGCATCTCTCAGACTGTTTGTCGGGTCTTTAAAATTAAATGAATTACATTTAATTCAATTTAACTTAAAATTTAAAATTGGTTCTTTGATAAATTGTCTGTGATGTGTAGACAGCTTTGGCGCTGGTGCTCTTTTTAGGCTTGAATGATTTATAGGTCAGTGTTAAGTAGCTCAACAAACAAACAAAACAAAAAAACATGCCTTTGAATTGGTAAGGTACAAGGACTGGACAGAAAATTAGTGAAAAAGCCCCCAATGCCCCCCAAAAACTTTTAAAAGCCCCTTTAAAAGCCTAAAGAATTATTGCTCCATACCACTTTAAAATAGGGCAAGAAAAGCTGGATCCTGGGAAACAGAATATAAAGAAATTAAAAGCACCTCAAATCGATTCGTTTCCTTGAGTGAATGTGTTTGATTTGCATCTTTTGTATGTATTTCACCTGCTGTCTTCATGCTTCTCTTGAAGCCATTTTAATAAAGGTTATAATAAAAGAAAAGCATAGCATGCCTTCACATCCCTGTGTCATCTCCCACTTTGATCTTTGTTTCAAATTGAATTTAAATCCATGAAGTAAGTAAAATAGAAATGGGAATTGAGTCCACCAGGTTGAGTAAAACATCAATTTTCTGCTATCAATCATCATAATAGAAGTTGAAAGTATCTATATGTGTGACACAATTTGCACTAATCCTCTGCAATTGCATCAATTTTATGCTGTTATTCAGTTATGCCTGTCATCACCCATCCCTGAAAAACACTGAAGGGATAAAAACACAAAGAATGAATGAGCACCAGCTCAACACACACACACACACACACACACACACACACACACACACACACACACACACACTGAAAATACCTTAACTCCTCTTATTCCCATGTTACCAGTCTCTCCCTGTTCACCCTTACGCCCTGGCAGTCCATCTTTTCCCAGTAATCCCTAAAAGTCACAAAAAAACCACAAATCACCTCTGCTTTTTTTAACTGATGACAAATCTACACACAGGTAATAAAGAAGCTGCAGTGTGATGGAAGCTAAACACCGACCGATTCACCAGGTACTCCAGGTTGGCCTGCTTCTCCCTGCAGAGACAAAACAGTAATTACAGCAGTGAAATTACTACACAATCATCATCCATGAGCGGCGTTGCTTGCCTTCTGCCCACCAGGTCCTCTGGCACCTGGGAAACCGGTAGATCCTCGTTCTCCAGGTTCTCCTCTCAAACCCTAATGTTAAGTAGACACATGCACATAAATATAGATATTGATCTTCTTACAGATCAATATAGTAGCATTTTGATTTTGATTTTTTTCTGTGTTAATATCATAATATTTAAATCATTTTAAGGTTGGAATTGATTCCTGTTAAATCCCAAATCAATGTCTAAGCCTGCATGGCCAACACATACACTTCATCAATGATTTTGCATTATGGATCAGTTCTTTAGAGTAAACACAATAAAAATGCACTAAAAATTCTTTAATGCTGAAACATTGTTAACAAAAAAATAGTTAATACAAAAATCTGGCATTATCAACCAAAAATGCCAAATATTTGCTGAATGTAGCCAAACAGGCCTAAAAAATATAATTAAGTAGACAACATATAGGCAGACATACTCAACACTGCTGTACCCCCAAATGGCCACTTAAGACTGCTTCTAAAAGCAAGTCAATCACAATCAAACTGTCCAATTAATTAAAAATAAGGAAAAAAAGATTAGATCGATTAAAACTACTCCTCCATCATGGTAAAATATGTTCATTACAAGGTTTGGCCAGATAGTGCCAGTGGGTTTAACACGTTACCTTAGATATTTTTTTTGTGCATTTTTAGACAAATATTTGACAAACATTATGGATAACAGTGCAGATATTTTTACACAACACCCAAGACGAGTCACTGCTGTGAAGTTTTAATGCCCCCTTATTCACGAGGGTTCGCCACAGCAGGTTGCGCCACATGTTTGATTTGGCAGATTGTTTTTCATTTAACAACGGATGCCCTTCCTGACACAATCCCAAACGGATTTCTTTCTCCTCCCTGAGAAACAAAGGTCGCGAAAGTGTAAACCACTACTCTAGTTGTAGTTGTATTTGTATGTTATCAATCTCGGGTATCTCTGTGTGTGACATTGATGCAGCTTTCTAAATATATTTCTAGTGCTGGCTGATAACTTTAAATATTGCCACAAATAAGGCACAAGATGATGTTCACACAACTTCTGCCAAGCAAGTCCATATCTATTATTTACAGTCTATAGTTTCAGTTTCTGAAATGCAGCAGTTCCTTTCATCTAGTCGCCGTAAATTATTTATCTTAACTGACAACAACCTTAATTGATGGGCTGCTTTTCTGACATTATTCAAACCAAACAGTTAATTAATTCATCTTACCACTTCTCCTGGTGGACCTTCTTGACCTTTTACCCCCTTTTCTCCTTGTATACCTTTGGGTCCTCTGTCACCCTAAAAGCAACAACAGTAAAATTCAGAATAAGTTTTTTTTTTAAAAAATATTACGCTAGCACAACTAAAGTCAATATTTAGCCACAGTAAATGGTGTCATGCATTTGTTGTTCACTGACTGTTTCTCCTTTGTTGCCCTTTTCTCCAGGAGGTCCTCCCACCAGCACAGTGTCCCCCTGTAAGTGATACTACATCTGTAAGAATCCGCTATAAGCCCCAAGCCAAACACACAACGCTTTATCCTTTTGTCCCTTCTTTCACTATGCATCCTGTAATATCACAGGTCATTACCATTGTATGTATTTATACATTCCTCCTGCTCTCAAGGAGCCAAATCTGTTGTAAGAGTTCTTTTTAGTAACAGCCACATCTGAGACATGACTTATTTAGTCCTTTATCCATTCACTGTCTCTGCCGCCTTTACAAATATACACAAATAGACAATCAACAGAGTGAGAGAGTGAGCAGTGGTACTGCTTATTAGATATTAAAATGTACACACCTTCTCTCCTTTGTCACCTTGCGGCCCGCTGTCTCCCTGAAAAGGCATTGCATTCAAGCGTGTCAATTTAATTCACTACTTTACATGAGCAGAAAGCTCAGGGGAAGTAGCTAGGATGATGACAGAAAAAAAAAAAAAAAGAGGACCAGTGGTATTTACCTTCTCTCCCCGAGCCCCACGATTCCCTGGAGGACCCTAATGAACACAAAAGACACACAAACACATTACAAACAGCTTTATAATGAAAAATGACTGTGGATGCTTCTGCCCCATCAAATTGCATTAATGATGTAATGTCACAACTCTGTAGGGTGCACGGTTTAATTAAACAGTGAGCATCGGTAGAATAGATTCCTGCTGATCGCGCTTTCTAACTGCAATGCACTGAAAAGCCAAAGACCGACTGACTGAATAATTTACAGTCCAGGAAATGCACTGTGACCTTGTGAAGGGCAGCTTTTCTATAATAACAATAAGACTTTGCTTGTGTTCTTTGCTTCACAGCTCAAAACAGATCGTCCTTTGGTTTAAAAAGAAAATTGAGATCTTTGGTGGACAGGCTCTGTCTGCTCCTGAATAAAGGAAAAACTGGATATTTACGGATGATCCTCTCTCCCCATCCAATCCAGCTCGACCCTCCTCGCCCTAGGACACGACAGACACAAGATGAGCAGAAATACACAATTCTTAATTTCATATATTTTAGGAGAGAAGTTAACAAATCAGTAACGCAGCCACTGTGTCTTACTCTGGGCCCTGGATCTCCTCTTTCACCTCTCGCACCGGGAACGCCAACACCAGTTTCCCCCTGGCAACAGAAAATATATGAATTCAAAAAAAAATCTATACACATTTAAGCTGCTGGAAAATAAAATACTGCATGTGAGAGAATCACCTTGTCTCCTTTGACCCCGTTAGTACCAGGAGATCCCTAGAAAACATATTATTGATCATATAAATCCATATTCAATTTCTTCTTGTCTGTTATGGCATCTTCCCCCATCTAAATCAGATCTATTCTTGATTTTGAGATCAATTTAACCCAACAAAAAGGTGATCCAGCTAAAAACAGGTAAAGTACAATTAACAGTCAAGCCTAAACTGGAAGCTCTCAGGAGAAGGTACTTTGTAAATAAAAAAAACAGGAACTTACTGCCAATCCAGGAGGTCCAGGAGGACCAGGGGGACCAACATTTCCTGCACGGCCAGCAAAGCCTTGGAGACCCTGAGAGTGAAAACACAGACAAAGATGTAAAGGTTAAATTAATAATAATAATAATAATAATAATAATAATAATTCTCTTAGTGGATGAACCAACCCTCTCTCCCGGGGGTCCAGGAGGTCCTGGTTGTCCATTTTCTCCTCTCACACCAGGTGGCCCACTGTCTCCTGTTTTCCCTGCAGGACCTGGAGGACCAGCTGGACCAGGCATCCCTGGATCCCCCTAAAACGCAGTGACATTTTCACCCTCAAGTGAGGTGCGCCTGATACAGCCTGCAATCTGATTGGAAAGATAAAAATATAGATCATCTTTTGCTGCAATGTGTGCTATTACTCACCTTTAAACCTGGAGGCCCAATCCGACCAGGAGGACCTGCAAGTCCTATCCCTTTCTCTCCCTGCAACACACATTTTATCATAGCAGTCACTGTCAGACTGGTTAGACTGCAGGAAAATCGATAAACCAAATGACGAAAGCTCACCTTATCGCCTTTTGGCCCGGGAGATCCCTGTGCCCCCTTAATTAAGTTGTGAAAAAAGAAGAATTATTTATTGTGTTATTTACATTTTCATATTTGTATCAACAGGAAATTAGTCAAAGTAAAAGAGAAAAATATTAATGAATGAATTGCTGTTTCATAAATTTATTGTGCAGATTTAGAAATATTTCATAAATGTTCCAGTTTCAGGTTGTGAGAACCGTTAATGTGTTTTTTTGAAAACCTCAAAACCAACAAATCATTAAAATCTTGCACATCACAGTCGTCTGGGCAAAGACAGTAAAAATAGGAATAGCAATTTCAATGTCCTTGTGACTAGAAAAAAAAGCAGTGTTTGCCCCTGATTGCTTTGACATTTTATTTGCATCCAGATGAAAGATTCAGGTGATAGATTGAAAGAAGTTGCAGCAACCAGCTTGTTGCTCTTTGGTTCAGAACCGTTGGCTGACCCCATTCAATTGCAAGGTGCTGCACAGGTCGTGTGGTGGGAAGCAAACTTTCTCCAAATAAATAACATCCAAATGAGACTGACTTCAATCACTCTCAGACACGCTGGAATAGGAATGCAAATAACTGCTGTCCGAGATATCCAGATATGTGAAATCTGAAAGTCAGTTTACAAAAATTTGTAACACGTCTCTTTGCAATATGAGATACAACTCATCTAGTTTCCAGCTGGTTGCATTCTGGTTATATTTCTATATAAAAGCAAGGTTGAAAAGCCTTATGTCATTTTATAGTTAAATTGCCATAGTGGAACAACTACGTCACTATTTTCTGTTTCAGCTCTATGAGGTTCTGTTTAGTAATTACTGCCATGTTCTGTGTAATGTGAATTCCTGTGTATGTAGGCAGCAACAGATTTGAGATTTCCACCAATTTATGTCAGTTAATCACTGTATTTTCACAAACAGATGGTGTGTAATTGCTAATTTGACCCCATCCAATCACAAACTGGTAGAAGACCGACTCCATCTTGTTGCTCTTTCGTTGCTGTCTGGATACACCAAAGTCACTTTAAAGACAGCAGCTGACTCTGCGTGGTCACAGACCTGGGCTCCAACTCGGAAGGAACAATTTCAAAGCCAACAACAATGCAAACGCATTTACACAAAGTGCAACAATTGTCTCCAGCCTGGGTTTTCTCTAGTGTGACTGTAGCATTAGATACACTGTCTATAGACCAGTGTTTCCCCAATGTGTGGGCTCTAGTGAGCCATAAAGGTGTAGCATAAGAGGTCATTTAGTTTTCTTTTACAATGTTGTAATTTCTTAATAAGTGCTGGCCGTGTACGCTGTTGTTGGGTTTTCTCCTCTTATTACATACACATATGCATATAATATACATTTTATTGTTTTGCTCTAATATTTATCAAGGCATAGAAGACATTTTAAAAATATAAAACTGTTCAAAATTTGATGAATTTTCCCAAAAAATAAAAACAGTGACTTTAATACCATCGACTATAATGGATCACTGGATTTATGTGAAATTACACAAAATTACACACTACTATTGGCATCAGCATTGCAAATCTTCCATAAAAGCATAAACACTATGACTAAGAGTTCATTAAAAAAATCTAATATGACTTTTTGAAATCCAGTTGGGCAGTGGAAGTTGATTACTCACATCTTCTCCAGGTTCTCCTGATTCGCCAGCTTGTCCCTTGTATGACAACAGACAGCACATTGTGTACCTTCATATTTGTATATGTAAGTGCATCATTATTTTGTCCCATTATCGTACTCACTCTTTCTCCTTTGATGCCAGCAACACCTTTGTCTCCCTTGTTACCCTAAATGACAGCAGTTGTGCATTCAGATATACAATTTTAATGAAAAAGCACTTAACATTTCCAGTCGGTCCCTCTCACTCACTGAGGGGGAGCTTGCAGTTTGGTCAGACTCACCTTTTCACCAATTGGACCTCTCTCTCCAGCTGTGCCTGGCAGCGTTAAACCAGGAGGACCCTGCATCAATCAGAACCAGGAAAGTGCTGTAAGCTGCATCCGTAAATGCTGCTCTATTGCGTCACTTCATGCTGCAGCTACTTCCACATTAATGGCAATAGGAGTGACTCACCCTCTCTCCTTTGGGTCCAGGAGGTCCAGCCACAGCCTGTGTACAGAGTACAGAAGAAGGAGGAAAATAACAGTAATTACCTGCACAGCACGATGTGGGTTGTTGTTCATTAAAAGATGCCAACGTGTACCTAAAAGCTTTGGTATTAAGTATCATATTAGCTTAATCATCTTTGCTTCTAGCTCTCGAATATTAAGAGCCTGAATGTCTTCAGGACGGACAGCCAACAAATGCACACTCACTGTTTAAGAATAGCACAGCAGACTGTGAAAACATTTGAAAATCTATTCAGCTTCACTGCCAAAAGCCTGCAGATGCAAGTCCAGTGTGTCTTATCACTTGTACACAACAATATTTTAAAGGTAATTTAAGAAAGACTGGATTGTAAGGGACTGATTCAAAAAATGCTTAAATCCAGAAGTTACTTTGTGATAAAATTCTGTTTTTATTTGTGGTGTTCAAACATGTTTCACCACAATGATAAGGAAGAATAAAGGAAGCAAAGTGGAATAAACGAAGCACATTATGGAGTGTGACAGACAAACTACAAAAGTACTGTGCTTCAGAACACAGGCATCGCTTCCTGTTAAAAAGGGAGTTCTTCCTCCCTGCTGTCATTTGTTTGCTCACCGGAGATCACCAGGTCATTGAGCTTTTCTCTCTCATATCACATTGTTTTTAACCTTAAAATATAAAGCAGCTAAAGATCATTCTTGTTGTGAGCTGGACACAAAAAAAACCCCAAAAACAATGTGAAGTAAAACATCTTCACAAATCAGGTGAGGATTATTGCAGGGATTCTCAAAGTTTAGTGACATACTGCCAGTTTGGGAAGGCAGCACGTGCCTGATTGCCGAAGAGGAAAAAGTTGTATGTACTCTTATGTAGTCATTTTTTATTCTGGCTTTTATTTTAATAACCATGATCTTCTTTGAAATTTCTGGTGTTACAGGAAGTCTGGAAATTTCTGTAAGTCAAGCGAGTGAGCGCAACCCTTAAGTGAAGTGTGTGTGTGTGTGTGTGTGTGTGTGTGTGTGTGTGTGTGTGTGTGTGTGTGTGTGTGTGTGTGTGTGTAGGTGTGACAACAAATGCTGGAGAGAAATCCTGAGCAGATGAACAAGTTGTATATAGCAGGTTATCAGAGTCACTCAAGAAACTGAGTGAATATAACCATTCAGGAAAAGAAATGAAAACAAATCCATTTCATAAGTCGTTTTATTTTTCATGTCTTTCACTAAATGCATCTTCTTCAGTGTTGTCGGGCATCGGAAGTGAACCAGTTCATGGCAACACGGACAATACCGGTGCTTTTTGAATGTTTTCTATACGTTGAAGCTAAAACGCTGAATTACTAATGTTTGCAAAAGCATGCCATAATGTGTCTGTGAAGGTTCTCGGTCAACCAGGTCATCGTAGTCTAAGGAGCTTGGAAAGAAAAGCGTCTGGACTTCTTTATGTTTCCTTGAAGACGTTTCACCTCTGAATTCAAGCAACTTAAAGAAATCCAGACGCTTTTCTCTTTTCTCTCCAAGCTCCTTAGACCATGCCATGCTCTTTGTTGACTTTAGCTCTGCTTTCAATACGATACTCCCAGACAGACTAATAGTTAAACTGCTGGAAATCGGACTTCCTTCTATCGCCTGCTGCTGGATCAGAGACTTCCTCTCAGACCGTGTACAGAGAGTTAGAGTGGGGCTCTTCTTTCCTCAGCCCTCAGCCTCAACACCGGCTCTCCACAAGGCTGTGTACTGAGTCCTCTACTGTACACTCTGTACACACATGACTGTGTTAATACCCACCCAGACAACACAGTCATCAAGTTTGCAGATGATACCACCGTGGTGGGGCTCATCTCTGGGGGAGATGAGACGGCATACAGAGCTGAAGTTCAGAGGCTGACAGATTGGTGTGTAGACAACAACCTGGACCTCAATACCACCAAGACAGAAGAACTGGTAGTTGACTTCAGAAGCAGGAAGTCTGAGCTGCAGCCTGTCGGCTAGTGTGTGTAAAGGGTGTCCAGTTTCAAGTTTCTGGGTGTGCACATAGACACAGACCTCCAATGGAGCTCTAACATCTCTGCAGTTTTGAAGAAGGCCCAACAGCGTCTCCACTTTCTGAGAATCCTCAGAAAAATGGACCTGAAGGAGGAGCTGCTGACCGTCTTCTACCGCTGCTCCATTGAAAGTGTGCTGACATATTGCATCGGTGTGTGGTTCTCCAGCTGCACCACAGCACACAGAAAGGCACTCCAGAGGGTCATCAATATGGCCCAAAAAAATCCTTGGACATCCTCTTCCCTACCTGAAGGACCTGTACAGCACTCGCTGTCTCAAGAGGGCACGCAGCATCCTACGGGACTGCACACACCCAGGACACCGGGTGTTTAAGCTGCTGCCGTCTGGCAGGAGGTTCAGGCTGCTGAGGTCCTGGACAAATAGACTCAAGGACAGCTTTTACAACAGAGCAATACCCTGATCAATGCAAACAGCTGACCTGACTGGCTACCTACCTGGACTTTTTTTTGGGGGGCGGGGTAACAACGGTAAAAACAGTAACAATAATAATATTTATATTTATAACAAGTTGCAATAACAATTAATGTGCAATAATAACAGTGTGCAATACAAATACACTTATTCTTCTTTTTATTATATATAAGTTATTATACTGTGTTGTGTTGTTTGTGTTGCGCTGTGATGTGTCATATCGTGTCGTGTTGTGTTATATGTAGTGCCGACGTAGGACAGTTTTCCAATTTCATTGTACTACTGTACTATGTATGACTGTGCAACGACAATAAAGAGTTATATTATCTTATCTTATAATGTCATTTGTTAAAGAAGCTCCAAGTTAATGGGCTTGAAAAGCATGTGGCATTGTAATAGTTTACGTTTGCCTGAATGTTTGCGTCCCGAGATTAAATGAACAGAACCAAATTATGTTTTAAAATTTAAAATTGTTTTTAACTCAGAATTTTGAAACACTGCGTTTCAAAAATTGAAAAAACAAGCAGCTGGTATTGTTCTTAAAAACAAATTAGTTAATTACAGCACTGTAACACACACTTCATTCTAGACTGTACACTATGTTAATGTAAACCCCTTATAAAGGGTGGAAAAATTCAACACCATAACAGCCTGCCATTAAAACAAATCAGATTTGCTGAGACTGAATTGGAGGAAATTCATTACAAAAAGTAATAGTTTAATTAGAGCTTATGCCACAATTAAAACTATTAATGTACACTGTTTTTTCTTTATTAGAAATTTTTAAAAGAATCCATCAAACAATCAGTAATAAAAACTCAAGTCACATTAAAGTGTGGAAAATGTGATAATGTGAGAAGCAGTTAACAGGGAACATTGTGTAAGTGTCCTTCTCTGTCATTTTTAGTTTTCATCTGCAAGAATTTGGCTTAATTTCCATCCTCACTGACAGAATCAACACAAGGAAGCCAAACAATCCCCTTTAACAGATGTCTCCCATCATTCGTTAACAGTATACCAATGTTCATCCAGCACAGCTGTTTGAGCATGATCATTTTTGATTAGGTTTATCATTATATTAGTGGTTAAAATAGAATAAACTAAAAGGCACAGCAACTGCCCAACAAGTCAATAATAAACTCCTGGTATACAAAGATGTCTTACTTCACACAGGGTTTCATTTCCCAATCGAAAAACAATAAAACTGTGGAACAAAAATCTATGGATCAATAAAAAAACAAAAACAAATTAACTTTAAAGTGACAGACAGTGCACATAAAAAAGGAATGGCATTTGACCTAACGCATGTGAACCCATCTGTCAGCCACGGTGGTTGTGTTAAAGCCTGGCCTTCAGCATGGAGAGCTGCCAATAGATGTGGCACACTGGAATTCATCAAGGATTTTAATGCTGATGAAAGCAAAAGGATGAATGCAGAGGTATAGGTCTGTGTCATCCATTCAGCTGGAAAACGACTGCAAACATACAATACTTACAATAGGGTCTGGAGACTATCTGTTAATGATTTAATTTATAATGATGAGAACATTTTTGTGCAGGGATGTTTAGTCATATAACAGATTAACACAGCTGACACTTTGCACAGGAAGCTTGAATTCTTCTATTACCATAAAGTCCCACCATATCCAGTTTATTATAGGAAAGCATAAACTGGAGACACGGCCTACTGTAAAATAAAACACATGGTCTTAGAGAGAAATTAAGATTAAATACTCAAAAAAGACTTTTTTAACACCCCAGAGATACTGCTTTGTGTTTCACCTATTCGGGAATTAGCGACCACTCCAAACAGCTCAAAATGTCCAAGGTTAGAAGAGCACAGTTGGCCTGACTGTTTAAATATGCAGAGGCAGAAATGTGTTCAGACAGAAATGAGAGCAGGTCCACATTTATCTGGCATTACTCCACAACACAATTTATGATTGTGTTTGACCTCATGAATTACAGTTTCCAGTTTCAACGACCCCAAAATTCTCCAATTGCTCTGACAATATACTGGCTCTCAATCAAACCTTTTCCATATTAAATTCTTAGATTATCCTCATGTGTCACATTGCCAGTCAGCATAATTAAACCATCTCAGCATCATGGCTATCATCTACAAATAAAACAGTAGTACTCCAGTTTCTCTTTAAGAAGAGTGGACTTACAGGGGAACACATCTGGAACCCACTGGGGCTAAGGTTCATGCTTTAAGATGCAGCTGTGGCTAAGATGGTACAGCGGTCATCGAATTATTGGAAAGTTGGTGGATCAGCCTTCCAATGGGTCGACTCCCTGACTTCTCCGGTCCACATGACAAAGTATTGTTGGGGAAGATATTGAACCCTGAGTTCTCGCCATTGGAGTGTGAGATTGTGTCTGAATGTTAGATAAGTACTTAGGCGTAGAAAAAAAAAGGTGCTCTGTGAATGAGACTGTGTTCAACCGAGTAGAAACGCATTGTGTAACTACCAGTCCATTTACCATTTACTGCTCCTAAAGAAGGACTCAGAATAGAACCCCTGGTGTCAGATAAAAGCTCTTCAATCTAATAATAACGCTATACTTTTTAAAATTATTACTTCATACAACAAACCATTCTGTAGCTTGGATTATATCCGATAAAAACAACCAAAAAACTAGCTGCATTTTCTGTGTCTCTTAGAAAGATATTGCTCGCTAGACGCAACATCTGCTCACCTTCCCTGGAGGCCCGCTGTCTCCCTGCTCCCCCTTCAGCCCAGCCTGGCCTGGAGGTCCTGCAATGCCCTGAGGAACAAATTACACAATGTTAACACTGAGAAAAAAAAAAAACACTCAATAGTGCTGCCACCGGTGAGCAATATGACATAAACTCAAACCTGCTTTCCTGGTAATCCATGTATTCCTTCTTTGCCAGGCACCCCATCTCTTCCAGGAACACCAGGTTTGCCTGCTTCACCCTGAGGAGCAGAAATGCCTTAGCATATGTGAATGTGTTTATCACTCTCACACTGAAGATCATTTACTCATTCAAAATCTGAATCGATGCCTGTGTTAAATTCACATCTTTACATCATTGATCAGTTATGGTCTACACAATAAGACTCTAAATAATGCACACAATGCCAGATAAATGAACTTACATCTATTTTGCTTGATTTTCTTATCAAAGTATGCCAGCACTTATTTTCAGGTTATAAAAAAGCACTTCACATTTTAATATATTTAGTCTATTACACAAATCCAGCAACATATTACACAAATCCAGCAGTGGATGTGTGAGAAAACCAGAAATAATAATGGTAGAAATGTTGATATATCCCCAAAAAAGAAAGAAGGGTCTGATATCCCAAAAAACCCTATGCAGCTCAAGCTGTCAGCAAAATCTTGGTACAGATGTTTTGGCATTTTCAGTTAATCACCTCCCTATTTTCAGCTACAACAAAACTGCCTGAGGGTCAAGACTTTTTTTTTCACGTTTACATTTCCTCACTGTGTGACACATTGCAGCCGCAGCAGGATTAAGACCAAATACGCACCACCTGCCCTGGCAGTCCCGGAGGCCCCTGTGGACCCTGCAGGGAGAAAAAAATTACAGTGGTACGAAGGAACACATTTTGATACACACCGTGAGATTTTAAATGAATTTCACGAGAAAACATGACAGAATTATTTTCCCCTGCTGAGAAGTTATGATTTGTGGGAACACATACCACAGCTCCTGGGGGACCTGCTGGTCCTGGCAGACCTGTGCTCCCCTGTGCACCAGGAGGACCCTGCAGAGATGAGAAATAAACTCACAGGGTTATCTGTTGTACATCACAACTGTGCGCATTGTTATATTATTCGGTCCCGGAGAAATTTAATGCATTTTATATAAGATGTAAAAAATTTTATACCTGTACACCAACACCTGCTTCTCCTTGATTACCCTGTAAAAAACAAAAGTTTTATGAGTTTGATAAACAAACAAACAAACAAAAATCTACTTGTTGTACACTAAAGTTTTGATAATGTAGTGAACTCACCTTTACACCGGGTGGACCTGGCAGCCCAGCGGGACCCATGGGACCCTGTTAAAAACACATCATCAACGTTGGTAACTGTTAATAAGAGTCTTTGAATGTGTGTGACATGTTTGTCATACTTACAGTCGGCCCCATAATGCCTGGCTCTCCTGAGTTTCCCTATAAGCAAAGTCACAAAGTCACATAAAAAATTGAACATCTGCACACAGGCCACATGCTAAAGGAATGTTTTGGGTTTTTTTTACATTTTTAAAAGCTAAATGGCTTTGTTCCTGAGAGTTATGTAAGAATGTCAGCCGTGTCTGTCGGTCGCTAAATATAACTTTCTGCTAGGAGTTTCCATTCACAGCAGTCCCAGTGAGATGATCACTGATACAGAAACAAGCAATTCTGCATTTGACTGCTCCAAAAAACAACCAAATGAGTGAATATTAAACTGTGTACAGATCAGCTAATGAGTTTATGTATTTTTGAGGTGTCTCTTTCAAGTCTTTAACTCTAAGTTAAATGACTACTTGCAGTAGCTTTATATGTAACAAAGTGATGTTTTCATCCAACTCTGAGTAGCAAAATCCAGAGCTGAAAAATGACGCCAAAGGCTAAGCTTATGAAACACAAAACTGAGGCAGGTTCCAAAATTGAGTACATAGACATTTTACTTTTATTTATTTTTATATATATATTAACAATGATTAGCAGCTATCAATTAACTGCATTTTATATCCATCAATCCTTAGGTAAAAAAATGATCACTTAAAAAGAAAAATCCTAAAACTGAGGCTTCAGATTCAAAGGTTAAAAACCCATACATGTTAAAATGATAAAATGTACAGATAATTTAAAAAAATGGTAGCCTTTAATGCTAAGTTTAGTTGTCATAATAATGTAATGAACTTGTTTTTTAATATAACTTACTTATTAAAATTTTTATTCAGGCTTAAAGAGGCTAAAAGTCTGCCCCAGTGTTTGACGCATGCTTTTACATATACTACCTTTTTTGTACCCATGCAATCTATAGATCATCTTGCTTACCAAGCAAGCTAGCATCAGCTGATAACTTCACCCTCTCATTCAATTCAATTTTATTTATGTATCACAACAACACTCGCTTAAGTTGCTTCATATTGTAAGGTAAAGACCCTACAATAATAGAGAGAAAACTCCAGCAAACAGATGAGTAAAAACTTGGAGACAGTGGGAAAGAAAGACTTTGGCTAGATCAATTTTTGTATACAGTCAACTCCCAGGAAGCAAGCAAATAACTTTCATTTTCAAAATGTAGAACTATTCCTTTAGGCAACATATTTATGCATAAATATGTTTAGAAAAATTGAGTACTGAAAAAGGTGCACACTTTTTCTGTACCCAAAAATCTACAACTTGGAATGATAAATACTGTCATATGTACATGTCTCTATATGAAACATAAAATACAAGCACTTAATTGATGGACAACAGGTAGAACAATACAAACAGATTATCTGAAATGTCAACAAGGAGACATTTGCATGGTAAGCTCTGAAAAATCAGCACTGTGCAAGGGATAAGCAAACAACAGACATCAGGCACAGCTGCATGCATGATAAGCAGATTCGAGTGAATCATCAACCGTACTTTCTGGAGTGCACCCAGTTTAGTATTCCCCACACTACTGTACATAAGAGCTGCGGCTGAGGATGTCAGCTGACTTGCTTTCATCTCGTCTAACAAATTTATGGTATTTTACACATTTAAATTATTTGCTTCAAAATGTAGTCCTTGAGTTTGACACAGATCCTTTTGGACATTTCATGAGGAACAGTTCGAGGTCTGACTCTTATCCCAGACCTCAGCTCCCAGAATCATGATTCTAATAAGAATAAATTAAGATTAAAGAGGTGAAATTTGCCTGGGAGGTACATGACAATGAGTGCATCCCGATGACAGGTTGTGCTCCTGGTGTTAAATCATGCTTTATTTTTTACCCTGCTTGCTTTGTAAGCTATTGCCCATCAGCGTCTTATCAGTTTTGGTCGAATCCTAATTATATCTGATACTACAAGGACAGATTCTCCAAACCTTTTACACCTATTTCCCCAAAAGCTCAAGCATGCCAGCCATCAGCAGAGAACCTACCGGTCTGCCTAGAACTCCTGGGAACCCAGGGAAGCCCTGGAGAAATGACAGACAAAGGAAAGTGGATGACAGGAGGGAGGGGGGGACAGGTGGGTGGAGAACAGTGACGAAAAAGGGGAAACGAACAACACACACAAAAGGAAATGGACATAGATAAGACGCACACAGGTAGAGAGAGAAAGTTAAAGAGTGAGGCGTTAGTCGCACAGCTGCACGTGGTTATTGCCTAAGGATCTACGAAGCCTCGGCCCAAGGAGGGAAACAGCTCCGTTGGCTTTGAACTTGCAGCCAGCCTGCAGCTTTAACTCTGCAGATCAAGCCTAAAAGAAGCAGACTGTGTTACTGGTTACTCACTGGTTGGCCTCGAGGACCAGCAGGCCCTGTTGAACCCTGCTCAGACACGCAGGGAAGGAAAACAAAAAGTGTGAGGAATATTTTCCTTTATCTTTCCTTGGTTTTACCATGACTGATGATAACCATGACTTACAGAATTTCCCCAAAGTGTGTTTTGGGGGAAAAAGATGAAACTTTAATGTGTTCTTTGTAGAGATGTGGTTCCTACTTGTTACATACTTTGAAAACAATAGATTATAGGCTCCTTATGTCTGTGAATGATTATCAGTGATATAAGGAAATACACACACTTACCAAGTCAGCTGAAATTAATGTTTAGAATACATATTTACAAAATCAATGCTATATCGTTTTCACTATGACAATTTGAAAGTACAGTGTTGTAAGAGTCAAGGTAACTTTCAGAAACCTCTGCCACACATCCCGCAGGGAGCAGTCCACTTACCGGTTTCCCATCCTGGCCCGGTTTTCCAGTCTCTCCTGGTGTTCCCTGCAATTGCAAGCCACACATCTGTATGCTGACAAATCTCATAAGAGTATCATAATAGTTTTATATTAGACTGAATAACACTTTCATGCAATTTAGCTGAACATCAACAAATATGAACACAACAGGTCATCTTTACGTTTCAGTTTTGCAAGATAAACAAGAAACAATGTTTTAATTAGTGGGAATTTAAGGAGGCGGAAGAGAAATTTTATTAGCTTTAGACATAGCTTGACTAACTGTTTCCCCATGCTTACAGTCTTTGCACTAAGCTAAGCCAACCAGCAGCCTTCAATAGTGTAATATTTAGTGGACAGATGTTAGGATCACATCTTTTCATCACTGATCTTCCTAACAAGCAGGAGGTGGTAGTCAGAATATTTAAAACACATTTTGAGTTCATGATTAGAGTAACAAAATATTTTAATCAAGGCTCCATTTGAGAGGCAGCTCACCTGTGAGCCATCACGGCCTTTTTCTCCTGGCTCTCCTCTCTCACCTTTATCACCTCGAGGTCCCACGAAACCCTGTAAGGCGCATTCCAATTGTTTATTCATATTAAGACACATACGATGTGACATGACACAAGATGTGTGTAATATGCGTAAATCTTACGCGGTCTCCTTTAGGTCCTGACGGTCCTGTAGCACCAGGTTCTCCCTTCAACCCAGATACTCCAGGAGGGCCTCTAGCCCCAGGAGACCCAACCAGGACTGAGTCAGCAGATTCTCCCTATAAACCATAATCACATACATATGTGTATCCTTTTTTTATTCTACATTTACTAAATATCTTATCACAACAATAACTAAAACTATTTTACCTTTTGACCTGGCGGGCCAGCTGGTCCTGTTAATCCATCCCGACCCTGAGAAACAGAACAAACTATCAGTTAACTACAAGAACCAGGAAATTTACTAAAACAAGAAATGAAACCATCAACCTAATAAGAGGACTCACAGAATCTCCTCTGTCACCTTTCTCTCCTCTTTCCCCCTAAAAAACAAATATACAATGTCATCAGTGTGATGCCACAAAAAGAGACCCCATTTGGTTGCCCAACTCTCCTCTCCACCTTATCTCCTGGCCTTCCTGCCTCTCCTAGTTCCCCAGCTCGTCCAGGAAGACCTGGTATCCCTGGCTTGCCAGGCTCCCCAGCAGGCCCCGCAGGTCCCTCTGACCCTCGTTCGACAATGGCTCTTCCTGGAGGCCCCGCTGGTCCCACAGGTCCTCGGTCCCCTGCGTCTCCTTTGCCGCCCCTCTCTCCAGGAAAACCACGAGCACCCTAGGGCAAAACCAGAATAAAAAAGCGATTTCTCTATCAATTTCATTCGATTAATTACACTCTAAAGAAAAAATCCAAGCAAGATGCTTCATTCTATCTGACTGGAAGTCTTCACATCATTTTGTCTTTTCACTTTAATCCTCGAAGATGCTTAGTCACACTTACATCTGCTCCAGATGGTCCTCTCTGTCCAGGCTCACCCTTATCTCCCTTTTCACCTTTCTCTGAAAGTGTGTCCTTGCTGTCCATAGCCTCCTTCAGATCAGACACCTGTGTGGAGCAGAAATCCAAAACGGAAAAGCTTTATAACTTTCAGCAGCAGATGCCCATCTGCAAAATGTTTTAATCCCCAGATAAAACCAGTCATTTAGAATTCATCCCAGCAGCTCAAAAACTGCTCATAAACAGTGTCACTTTAACCTGCCAGGCATAATTCTAAAATATATAAGCAGGTGTATGTGCATAATAAATGAAAGACTCATGCCTACATTTACTGGACTAAATGAGCTGCTGAAACAAGGCCAGACATAAATGGTATGATGACATTTGCAAGAACAAAGTGGGAAATATAACACTTTGCATACATTTGCAGGAAATGTTCTTCTCTATAAGCTATAACAGAAGCAAGAGTAAGTGCTGATTTTAAGACTGTTTAGATAATTGCATTTTTTCCCCATTATTCCATCCATCCATGCAAGTGAAAGCCAAAAGAAATCATGTTCAAATCGAGTTAGTCATCTGAGGAGTCCACCTACCTGAATACCAAAGCCTGCCAGAGCTTTCTGTACATCCTGGCAGGAAACACGGAGACATTATTAAACCGAGATGTAGAAATGTAAAATACTGACAACTGACAATTACATGACAGACAATGTGCTGATGTCTTACCACTGACGTCCCGGGTTTGCCAGGTGCTCCATCCTCTCCTGGGTCTCCCTAAACATAACAAGATATGAAGGAGTCAAAAAAAAAAAAAAAGTGGACCCTCGATGTCACATTTTCACTGAATGTTTCACTTACAGTTTCACCTTTCAGGCCAGGCAGACCTCGCTCTCCCTGAAAACAAAAAAGAAAAAATGAGAAATACCAATGAGGGTGAGGGGGGAATCGCACTGCAATACCATCACAATAAACTGCACACAATAATAACGGCATCACAGTAAAATGATTCTTAGATCTTTGCAATCTTTCTTTTGTGCAAGAAAAAGTACTCCAGAAATGGAAAAAAAGCAGGGCTTATTTCTTTAGTAATGTAACTTTGGTGTTAGAGTGTGTGTGTGTGTGTGTGTGTGAGTTATTATTATTCAGCTTTAATAACATGTTAGTTCAAAGTACTCCAGTTTATACTTGCTAACTAAAAGGTAAGTTAATTGTTCAAAGAGGACTGTGAATGTCATATGCCAACTAAAGAGTCTTGAGGTGTAATGAGTTCTCATAAGAATAGAAGGTGAAAGACTTGACCTGTAGCTGCTGTTACATAGAATCACATTTCCATTCACTTCCTGTTTCAGCTACAGAAGCAGGACACCAGTTAATACAAAAAAGCCCAGAAAAAAAAGAAAAAAACATCTCGAAACTACAACTTACTCTGGTTCCTGCAGCTCCAGGGATTCCTGGGACACCCTGAAAGGAAAACGGGGACACAAAAATGAAGACACCCTGGCAGCTAACAAACAGCAACTTGTGTAGATATGACACACATAACTGCTGGTTGTGAATGTTGGTGGCTCATGGTTTGGGGATAACAAGAGCAACATACATAGAATATAGTGGACAGTAATAATTATTTGACTGCCACTTATTTTCTTTAAAAATATATATTTCTCCAATAAATAAGCTAAAAGAATCTAACTAAAAGATGCTCAATTTAGTTTCAGCAGCACAAACAGCGGCAATAAGAATGGTGATGCACACTTACGGGCGTTCCTGGGGGCCCCTGTGGACCTGGGATTGGTGTCGCGTCAGCTCCTTTCACATACACAACCTGAGAAAGGGGAACATCCCGTTTCATTCAAAACGCCAAATTAACTTTGCTATTTTTCACATGTTGGCTTCACTCGCACCTGACCAGGAGGACCAATGCTGCCAGGTAATCCAGGTGCTCCTGGGGGACCAGGGGAGCCTAAAGGCCCAGAAGGACCACGGTCTCCTTTCTCCCCGTCACGGCCCTGAAAAACACATGCTGTTCACAACTGAAATTCACCCCACACACTTTCTTCCTCCTTCACTATAGTAAAGGCTGAACTATAAAATCAAAGCAGGTGGCCGCTGCCACCCCTCCACTGATGTTCTAGAGATAATTAATATGAATTTGCACATGAAACCGGCACTCTGACATTTGGCACCCCTCTGGATTCCACTCAGAAGTCGCTCCACTTAAAGGCTAAGCTAGATCATTAGAGGTGAATTTATATAGCTTCTTCAGAGGAGCCCATTGATTCAGCAGTGAGAGGCTGATGTCAATTTTAGAACAACTATGGCTGACAAATATACAGCTGAAGGGGGAAGTGATCAGGAGAAAAAAAGGATGGAAAGCTGATATGCAATAAAGTCATAACAGTAAGGCAGGGTGATATAAGGCATCTCGATAAGATATATAAAAAACAAACTGACAACAAACACATTTTTGATAAGTAATCATATGAAAGAGGTTTGTGAAAACTGACATCTCTTCCAGCTGCTCCAGCTTCTCCTTTGTCACCCTGTAGATTAGAAATAGACATTAAATACAATCTTCAAAAATAATCCTGCTAAATTATGGGTTTTCTTGTTTTAATCCCCTCTTTATGTGCACATCATGTAAAAATAAAAACCAATGTCTAATGTACGTACATGTAACATGCAATTTTACATGACAATCGCGTGGCTTGGTTAGCAAACATCGTGCCATGGGTCAAGTAAGATGCCTTTACAGAGTCAAACTGTGGAAATCATGTTGACTAAATCGTATAAAAGAGACACAGACCTTTCTACCATCTTCGCCTGGCACGCCATCCTCGCCCTGTGAGTCCAAACAAAATGCATTACAACAAACAGGAACAAAGTGCATAATGGCCAGTCTGCCACGGGAGCACTCAGTGCCTCTGCTTTAGAAACTCACTTAAGCGAACCATTATGCGGCAGAGCCTGAAATAAATGTCCATACTACTTTTGATCAGTAAACATCATTTACAGAATAAAGGTATAAAAAAGGCCATTACCAATTATACAAGTACATCAAACTATGAGGATATTATATTCAGGAGGTCAGAGTTACCGTTTTGCCAGGTGGTCCAGCTTTGCCATTTTCACCTGCTTTACCCTGACAAATAAAAGTAAGGTTAATTAGAAATTTGGAAGCGGAAGTTCGGTAAAAACATGTATAGGCCTGACAGGCAGAACGATGGAACTTTGTGGGAGTCTCTTTTTGAGTGGGATAGAGGGGTACTCACAGGTATCCCTGGATTGCCTGCAGGTCCAACAGGCCCTGGGGGACCCTGCGCCCCTACTAGTCCAGGTAATCCCTGGCAGAAAAAAAACAACAAATAGTCCAAAAGTAGATTTTGCAATGAATTACTAGACACTGTATTACAGTGCAAAATAGATTTAAATGTGATTTGTTTATTTTCTGAGACGATCACTGTGTAAAAGATTCAGATTCAGAGATGTCATCACTAGATAGACTTTAATGTGCATGAGCAGCTGCAGAGCTGTTGTACAACTGCCCTGTAAGCCAGGATTTAGATCTTTTAAATAAACCCTAAGTTTCAAAGTTCTGGACTTTTAATAACATTATTATGGTCAATATTGCATAACAGTCTCCTCTGAAAAGTGGACTGGCCTGGAGACATCTTTCCCTACAGTCGGCTTACGCAACTCAGCACAGATCTAAAAGCTGTTTTTTTACAGTTTCCACAGTGCCCTCTGCAGGACGCCCACTTCAAGTGCATATGCTCACTAAAATTGAGAATGTTGCCAAATAATGACCCCACAACCCCAAATTGGATGAGCGGAAGAGAACGGATGGATAGATGGATGCTCATTAAAATCAAACTATAGAAGACATTGTTCTGTTTTAATCAGAACAATGAGTGAAAACCTGAAGGGGCAAACAATTATACCCGTCTACTTAAGTAACAATACAACCAAAAATAATGTGTTTATTTTGTAATGATTGCCTCTTTCACACAATCATCTTCAAAGACAGAAAGAAACAAAACTTACATCCCTCCCTGGATCTCCCTGTTTCCCAGGATCACCCTATAACACAAATAAAAACAAATGCAGTGCATCAGCTACACAGAGACTCTGTGAGTCTTATAGTTTGGTAAAAAATGAGAAACTGAAATACCCTCTGGCCAGGTGGCCCAGGAGCCCCTGGTTTACCATCAAGACCAGGACGCCCATCTAAGCCAGATGCTCCCCGTTCTCCCTGGTAATGCATCAGTTAAGAGTTAGGAAATCACATGGTTATTACAGTCTGTAAGTTAGCAGTAAAGGTGATTTAACTTTGCTATGAAGCTTACTTTCCCTTATACACATGTTTCTGCCAGCAGATTCCTACTGGAAATCTGCTGTTTCACTAACAAAACCAGTGGAAGTTTCCTTGCAGCACAATGACAGAACTACACATGTCAGAAGAGAGCAGTAGATGAGATTGTGTGACTCCAAACCTTCTCTCCAGGTGGTCCTCTGTCTCCTGTGTCGCCCTATAAAAATCAACGTGGCATAAATATAGTTGAAAGTCAATGAAATTCAGACAGTTAAAGATATGCATTAGAGATAATTGTAATGTAGAGAATGAGAGAAGGAAAGTCCACTCACTCTTGTCCCTGGAGGCCCCCGTTGTCCCTCAGGACCCTTTATAGACGACAGGAAAAGAACAAGAAGTCACATCACTCTTGCATACTAAAATCTACTGAGAACAGGATCTGTGCGCATTCAGATTTATATAGGGCAACTTATCAGATGCTATGAATGCATTTAAAAATTGCAAGAATGAGGAACACTCACTCGTAGGCCTGGAGCTCCAGGAGTCCCCGCCTCGCCTTTCGTGCCTTTGCCACCATGCTCTCCTGGGTCACCAGCATCACCCTGGGAATCACAGTGATGTAATCTGCTGCTATATACTTTTTTTTACCCAGTTACCTTACATTTTTCAGCTATTGGTGTTTATTTAGGATATTTTAACAGGTCAAACGAACATACTTGATTTTGTAAAAAATAAATAAATAAATTCTCAGTGTCTACATGCACAGAAAAAGCGCTCACCTTTTCTCCTCTCTCTCCTTTCAGCTGGCCCTGGATATCAGCCTGTTGACAAACAAACATGGCAAATGTCACATGGAGCACTGCCTCCTCTGTGTTATCAAAATTGGATTATAAGTAGTTAATTCGGTGTTAAGCTGATTGCTGGAGGCTGTTAAACAGTGTTCTGTGACACTGTTTTTTTACCACTGTTCCTGGTGGTCCTTGGGGCCCTTGAAGTCCCTGGTTGAAGAGAATAAAGTGTGTGAATCCACTAACGGTACATATAAAGACACATCTCCCATTTCCAAAATGAAAATAAGCACCATACCTGTTCTCCCTTCTCTCCTCGTGGTCCAGACGGTCCAGGGCTGCCCTGTGATTGAACACAGATCAATAAAGGTGCTGAGCGGCCGACCTTTTTCACAGCTCCTTCTCTCAAGGTCTCAACAGAATAGTACAAGAGCATACTGAAAAGCTGTCTGTATGATAACACATAAATGAGTGTCTCACATTTCGTCCACTCTCTCCAGGGTCTCCTATGTCTCCTTTCTCGCCTGGTGGCCCTGGCTGACCAGTCTGACCCTGAGTGCAGCATCAATCAAAAGGTCTGTTAAGTGAACTTTCAAATGAGGCAATTTAAAGGTTGCGATTGAAAACTTAACTTTAAAATATGCTTCAAAGAGATTTGTCATACCCTCAGTCCTCTTTCTCCTGGCTTCCCTGGAAGTCCAGACTCACCCTGATGAAAAATTAAAGTAAAAAAAAGAAAATGGCCAAGAGAAAGGATGGAACTACACCTAAATATTCATGACAGAAGGATCCTTTCTTTGTGGATATATATGATGGGGATGATATTCTAGTCAAACAAACATATTATAAAAGGTAAAAAGAAAAAAGAAAGAATGTGAAAGAGCGGATGTTATACTCACAGGAATGCCTTCATCACCCTTCTCTCCTCTCTCCCCCTAAAAAAAACGGGATTAATAATTTATTTGGGTGTGAAGCTCTGTGGCATTAAATTTCAAAATCGACACTAACCCAGTAGAGCATCTGAAGAGAGTACACATGCACAAAAGAAAGGCACTGGACATGTCATGAATACATAAAGGGTACTTGTTTTTACCTCTAAAACGACCATTAGAAAGAGACGCATGTTGAAAGAAACAGAAGAAGGTTGCTGTTGATTTTTGATTACAGCACTGAGAGCAACATGGACAACCTTAATATCTTAATACAAAAGTATGGAGTAAAGTGCAACAGTATATGGACACCTACACATTACACCTACAGGAGCTGCTCAACCATGAAAACCCATACCATGAAGGTCCCGGCACACAGTTATTGTGCTGATGTTAATGCGCAAGGAGGTTTGGAGCTCTGTAACTTTACGTGGTCTGACACTTGGTAGCTGAGTTGCTGTGGTTCCTATATCTTTCTGATTTCAATAATTGATTGTGTTGTATTTTAGGTGATTGTGGAATATCTCGCAGGATAGAAAGTGACTTGTTAAGGTGTGGCCCAATACTTTTATCCATATAATGTACTTCACTGTGTAAGGTAAACCAGTGAAAGAATAAAAGAGTATAAAAGTTTCAGTAGAAGCTATAGTTTCCCATAGAGGCTGGACCATATGGTTGATATTATAATAAGAATATTAATGTGGAACCAGAAAACTTTTTCCATATATCATAAATTTAGATTATCAACTGATTATTACACTTATTTTAAGTACAGAAAATGTATGTCAACAGTCCTTTCTAAATATATTTACACTGTGGAGTAAAACTTAAATTATCACTCAAACCTACATCCTATTTGTAAACTCTTGAAAAAAAAAACAAAAACTGTTGCTTGTCACAGTAAAGGTCAGGTAGTAACTTCATCCAAAACACCGCTCTGACCTGTTTACCGGGAACGCCTAGCTTTCCTGGGAATCCTGCGCGTCCATTTTCTCCCCTCTCTCCCGGTTCACCTGGATCTCCCTAACAAACAGTTAAGAGGACCAGATAAACAATCAAACAGACAGTAATAAACAAAAACAACTGAAAGCATTCACAGCAGGCCTCTCACCTTGGCACCTGGCCTTCCGCTAATACCAGCGGGCCCCTGAGGGAAAAGCATATGTTTATGTACTTTTGCTCTGAGAGGTTTGGGAATGACAACAGGTGGCACAAGGGAATGCTTCATGAATAACTGATGCTTGTGTCAGGAATACATCACGGCAGCTGTAAACAGTGCATCTGTGCCCTTTGTAGCTCTGATAAAGAGAAGTTAGGATGACTTACTCGCTCTCCCGGCTCTCCCTTAGGTCCTGCAACACCTGACCCTCCAGAGCCCGGAGACCCCTTACAGTATAAGAAAAAAAAATCAAAAACCATTATGAGGTACGGCAAATGATGAACATTTAAAAGCAATAATTAACATATTTTTCTCACTTTCTCTCCTCTCTGCCCTGGTTCTCCCTTTTCTCCTTTCGAACTCTCAGGGCCAGGTACGCCTCGCTCCCCCTGCGGGTGAAAAGCGGTGGAAGTTACACCCATGAACTCTGAGCGAGCTCCGCTAAAATGAAAAGTTGTAGGAGATGCGATTTTACACATTACCTGTTCTCCTTTCCTCCCTGGGAGACCTTGAACCTGCATGATTTAAATAATTCAATAAAGGCTTGTCATCATACACATAGACTGTCATGAATATTAAGTGCATATCCAAAAAAACGCATGAAGAAGTCAAAGAAATGAATGTATGTGATGATTTTCTCATGTCTGATTGCTCACAGTTCTCCCAGGCTCTCCTCGTGCACCGTCATTTCCCTGGGAACAGACATGTTCACTTGTTCTTTCATCTTTGCTTTGAAATTCATTACACCAGATTATGAAACATTCAACGGCAAAATCACGTTCCTATTGACCCGCTGCCTCTCATATCATTGCACTTAATTATATCAGTCTCACCTTTTCTCCTGGCGGTCCACTGGGTCCTGGTAAACCCTGTTACAAAAAGGAAACACCATTTTGTGAGACTCCTAATGCAGATGATGCAACAAGCATGAAATGGAAAGGCACACAGATGCCATTAGCCAATATAAAATAGCAGTCTGTCACTTACTCTTACACCTGCTGGTCCTGGAGGGCCTGGCTTCCCTGAATCTCCCTGAGGAGGCAATTTAATTCAGAAAAGAGTGAAAAAAATCTTTTGAAAGCACAAGATGCTAACCTGTAACTAAGACTACAAACTAAACCAGTACTCACTCTTCCTCCAGTTTCACCAGCTGGTCCTCTCTCCCCCTACAAACATAAAAAGGTTCAAATTCAACACATGCTCTTTCGGTGAAAGTTTCCCTGTATTAAATCAGCACATGCAATCAACAGAGTCTTACTGCCATACCTGAATAACTGAAAACATTACAAACCTTTTTGGGGTGTGCTCGAATATGTGTGGGTAAAACGATGCACAGCATCAGTGGTACCAATCTATTGAGCATCAGTGACATCACTAAGGTGTCTGCTGAGAGGATACTAAAAATCCTTCCCATCTGACAAGTGATAAAATGGCATCATCCATCATAATTCATGACTGTTTCCTTTCTCGGGCTCTTTGATATACAGTATCATTTTATGACCTCATTACTTATTCATTCATTCTGATTTTTTTTTTGTGAGTAGCATAAAAGGACTCCAGCTGTTACATCATCACGATTATTTTTTTTAAATGAATGTTGAATCTTATAGAAAAGGGGCCCCAAATACTGTGAAAAGTTATCTTGATCCATATAACAGAAAGACGAATAAACAGTGACACAAAGAAAGATTCAGTCTCATGTCATGTGACTCACCCTATCTCCCTGTGATCCAGGCTCACCTGGTTGCCCTCTGTCTCCCTATCAGGAAAGAGAGAGTGATAGAAGTCATTATTCTGTTGGAAAAATGGCAAAAGTTTATTTTTTTTCCCTGCCATCGTCTTACCTTGCTGCCAATTTCTCCTGGAGGCCCACGGGGCCCCTGAAAAACAGAAACAAAATGTTCAAACCTAAATTTATCAGCTCCACTGAGGGGGTTATGAATTTATTTCTGTTTCTAATTACACTTTTTCCTAATTAGCAGGATTTCTCAGCACCCAAACATGGCCATTTAGAAAGCATTTCCTCAAAACTCTGTAACTGTAAGGCACAGAAGCCCTTTTTTCACATGTATTTATTTATCTAAGCAGCCTTCATCATCCTGTCTGTTCTTTCTGATATTTACTGCATAAAATGGATACATCTTCATCATACTGTACTATGAGCCATGCTTTTTAAACACCCATGTGTCTGACCTACCCTGTCCCCAGGTTCCCCATTTTTGCCTGGAGGTCCAGGTTGTCCTTCGGCACTGTCACCCTGAAAAATAATCACAGGCCTGTGAAATAAACACATTGCATCACTCTTAAACCGACTCAATAGGCAACTACCTTCTCCCCTTTTCTGCCCTCAAGTCCTGCAGGTCCTGGAGGACCCCGAGGTCCCTGAAGTCCTGGAATACCCTGATAATACAAAAAGCAATTAGTAAATGCAAAATATGCCTTGCTTGTACACAGAGCCAACCTTCAAAATAATGTATCAGCACACTGTCTGCGATTGACAGCTCTTACAGGGGAGCCCTTCTCGCCTTTCACTGCCACCCCGCTGCCTACTCCTGGAGGTCCCTGTCAGCAAAAAGAAATAAAAGGTGAGAAATCATTCTGCTCGTGTGGTCCTTCGCAGTGAAAGGACAAGTTGGTGATGGTGTGACTCACCCTCTCTCCTGGGCTTCCCTTGTCTCCCTGTAGAAAAAAGTGGAGGAGGAGAGAGAAAGACAGATTGAGAAAACAACCGGGGTGCGCTCTGTAGTCCGGGATTTACGGTACCTTAAAACTAAAGCAGATTGACATAATACAATGATCTGTTAATAACGGGACATTCTTATAAAATAACTGAAGAATTGGAAACTTTGCTGGGAAAGAGAATAAAGGATGAGATTTTTCTTCATTATTTCCCAGTGGGTCACCACAGCTGATCGATCTGTCCCTTTATCCCCAGCCAGTGACCAGTGAACACTATGATAGACAGGGTAATTCATGTCCAGACTTCAGACTTCACAAAATCAAACAGCATCGGTCTCTGGGGCGATCGTGGCTCAAGAGTTGGCAGTTTGTCTTGTAATCAGGTTGCCAGTTCGAGCCCCGGCTCGGACAGTCTCGGTCGTTGTGTCCTTGGACAAGACACTTCACCTGTTGCCTACTGGTGGTGGTCAGAGGGCCCGGTGGCGCCAGTGTCCGGCAGCCTCGCCTCTGTCAGTGCGCCCCAGGGCAGCTGTGGCTACAATGTAGCTTGCCATCACCAGTGTGTGAATGGGTGGATGATTGAATGTGTAAAGCGCTTTGGGGTCCTCAGGGACCAGTAAAGCGCTATACAAATACAGGCCATTTAGCATCAGTCTCTGTTATTGAATATGAAAACTGGATTTTTAATACATTAAAAGAAAAAAAAAGACCTGAGACTTTTTAAATATGGAGTGGAAAACTGAAAAGTAGAAACCTGGATAAAAACCTCCAACCAAAGAAAAACTGCCCAAGGATTTCTTTACATATACAGCCAATGATTGATATTCCACTGATGAAATATGCAGGCAGCTCAATACTACCACCATGTGTGAGACTTAGACAATAACAGTTTCTTATTGGAGAAATGCTCCACAGAGTTCATAAACCATATCCAACAGCTGTTTTCTCAGTAGGAATGGAAATAATGGAAAGAACTGAGTGAAAAAACTGTACCCACCCAAGTATATAATGACCAGTATATAATAAGCTTGTATATAATAACAAAGCAAATATTCATTGCATTTGAAACTGCTGTTGTTTCCCTGTACTTGTAACAGAGCTAAGGGAAACTGACTGGGTGGTTTAAGATACGCTTTAGCACCGATGTGGCAGAGAACAAAACTTCTGCACAGAAGTCAACCTGGCGGTCAGTGTTTTGCACTAGGAAAGGATGTGGGCTCATACATACATGAGACATGAGTAAGGGCACTTTACAAATCTGATGTCAAAAGAATTAACTATGGAAATCTATTTCTTTTCTTAGTAGAAGCGAAACAATGCAGGAGAAAAACCTTGACTGAAAGCCCTGGTGTTCCTGGTATTCCTGGGCGACCATCCTGGCCTCGTGTCCCTGGAACTCCAGGTTCTCCTTTGGTGCCGTCCCTGCCTAGCCGACCTGGTATACCCTTGCCACACAACAAAAACTCAAGTCAGTACATATGAATGATGGATGACCATACAAACCATTTTAACTACACTCTCTTCTACACCTAAGATTTTACAGGTGACACTTTGGCCCACTGTGGGTTTTAGGATTACACTGGCTATTTAAAAGAAGTTAAAGAATGCTGTGAATGTCAACATAAGAAACATCCTGACTGGTTATCTGGTGCTTTTCTTACATCTGTTCCTGGAATGCCTGGTTCTCCTTTCCTCCCTGGAAGACCCCCACCACCAGATGTCACAGAACCTGGTTCACCCTAAAATATCAACAAAGTGCAGTAAACAGTGGAATAATAATACTTCACCTTTTTTCTGAATTGGAAAAAAAAAGGTTAAGACGTTTTTAAGCTCACCCTTTCACCTTTATCACCCTTGGGCCCCAGTGGTCCTGGTGTTCCTGGTTCACCCTAGAACAACAGAAAACAAAGGAAACACTGCAGTTCAAACCCGGTCACCAACAACTCTCTGGTACAGGACGGCTGGGGCTACTTACTGGGTTTCCTCTGACACCAGGTAAGCCTTGTGAACCCTGTGCAGTAAAAAAAAAAAAAAAAATTATAAGTAACAGTATTTTATTGACTCGCTGCTAACAAAATCATAAACAGTCAATCTGTGGGTTCCAGTCACTCTACTCACAGGAACACCTGCATTTCCAGGGGCACCTGGTCGCCCTGGTAACCCTGGATTTCCATCAATACCGGGAAAACCCTAAAGAGAACACGGCATATTAGTTTGTTTCTGTTTTGGCTGGTTTGTATGGTTTGTATGGTTTAGAATGCTTTCAGCTACACTTACTCGCTCTCCCTTTTCTCCTTTTACCACTAGCGAAGGGTCAATTGGGACACTTTGGCCTGGTGTTCCTGGACGACCTTCAGGGCCTCTGGGGCCATCTCTCCCAGGCAAACCATCACGACCCTGTATGAAGATTGCTATTTTCAAGAAAGAGCTTGCATGGCGGTGGACTGCAAACCGACATGCAGATTTGCATTAACCATAGGCAGGCTAAAGCAACTTAAACAGCACAACCTGTGTAGAGCTGCCAGTTAACACGTTCAGCTGAGCCAACACTGTTGTGGGCTGATATTGATTTGCTGGATTTGCGACTGAACCAGACTTTGTGGCCTGCCTGGACTGACTTTACACTCAATAACTGGACGCTTGCTAAAATGTCATATCAATATCCATTTGCAGTAACACTGCACTACTGCAATGCCAAACTGAATCATCAAGTTCAGTATAATTAAATGACTCACAGGCTCTCCCTTGCGTCCATCTGCACCATCTCTGCCTCTCTCACCCTGTGGGTTCAAACAAAGGAAACGGCATCTTAAAAGCTGAAGAACAAGACCACTGGAGGAAAAAAAAGTGCAACTTCAGCTCTTCAATACCTTTTCTCCACGTTCTCCCCTGTCACCCTAAAAGAAAATTAAAAAATAACACCAAAGATTTAGAAATTACAATATGAACGGCAACAGAAGAAAGCTCTTGCTTTTATCAGTTACATAATTAACAAGCAATTAATCGGAGCAGCATACATCAGTCAGTTTGTGGTTATAGGTTATAAAATGTAAAAATACAGCATGACGGTACACAATAACTTACCCGAGGGCACTGAATGGTGCACTCATCTGTATCTTGAGTAGTCTAAAAAACATCAACAGAAACAGCTGAGATTTAGACTTTAATTCTTATCACCGTTAAAATAATCGACACATATTCACTAATGTGAGTGTTACAGATGTTTAAACAGTTACTGGAAAACTAGCTGTTTTGTTTGCCTTCTTCTTTTTTGAAGTACATGTCAGTCCAGATCACACCAAGCTTAACTCTAATTCAAGATTGTAAACAAAATATTTTTTCTGGTTTCTTCCCACCTGTTGCGCCCTGGCAATACCACAGAGCAAGTCGGCTAGATTAGATTGTAGCGTGTTTAGCTGCGCTGGATAGCTTGTATACAAGAGGTTGTTGTTGCCATCTGACACAGCCTGATACAGCTCCACAGTGTCTGCCTGGTCGACACCAACAGCTAAGACTTTCACACCTAGCAAACATGCAAACAGAAAAATCAACAGTATTTGTTTGCAAGGCAGAAAAGATCATAATGTCTGTAGTGTACTGCAATTGAACAAACTATTTGTGGAATTATTTTGTAAGCATTGTTAATTAATTAAATTGTTTATTAAAATTTGATATGCCAAATACTCGGCATATCTCAGCATGATGTGCAGTGTGTCCGGCTCTGTTCAAGATGCTTTCAGATGTTTGATTCTATTAATGGTTTTTTCATTTATTTTTAGATTGAACACATGGCTTCCTACATTTTTAGACACACTTTTGTGGTAGATATGTCCCAACTAAACTGTTCCAATTCTGTCAAATATGCTGCCTTCATAGGGACCAGGCAGTAACACCCATCCAAGTTAAAGCAGCTGTCATTCTATTATATTCTGTTAATATTGTGACTTCATGTCAGTGATCCTCTGAAAGAAAACCTGTAGCTTTGAGACTGCTGGCTGCAAGGCTCAGGTCGTCATTGGAACGTTTGTCAGCGATGATGACAACAACACCAGGGACCCTTAGTCTCCGTCCAGCTGATGGGGTGAGGACATATTGTCTGGTGAATGTTACCGCCTCACCTGCAGAGGGTGACAGGCAATATCACAAATGTCATCGCACAAAACAAAGTAGCTGCTCAGATGGCACTCAGTAAGAACATCAAAGGGCTGTCAGAAATGATAAGGAGAAAGACAAAAATCCCAACCGATGTTGCTCCCTGGGCTTTCATCAAAGGGTATGGACTGAATCTCTTGAAGTAGGGTGTCAGATCTGGCATGGCGATTGAGCAGGAACCATATTTTGGGTCTAGAACCATATACTACAACCCCAATCTGAAACAGATAAAAAAAAAAAATAAAAAAAAAAATAAGTAAAAGCTAAAAAAGGACTGGAAAAAAAACAGTTGTACATTTCCCTGATCTGTTGTGAGACTTTATTTTGACAAAAAGTACCTGTGTGTTGAGGGCTCCAGTAGTTATGAGAGACTCTGCTGTATTTGTGAGGAATTCACGTAAAGGTCTTGCAAGATTAATACGATCAGTAGACGCAGGTACCAGAAACACCACATCTAGAGACCCAAGCGCACACACTGCAAACAGAGGTGTGTCAGGGTTAGTAAGCGATGCATTCTTAAACAAAAGCATATGAAAGAACATGTGTTTGTTTTACCAGGGCGTCCAACTACAGAGCTTTCCCCTCCTAGTCCACTTGCAAAGTTGGGTTGCAGGCTAAATCGATATCGAAGGCCCAAACGCAGCCCGGGCACCTCATAAGAGCTAGATGAAGCAGGCAGCGTGACGGACAAGACTCGACCACTATCTGAGAAATGTGAACAGTGGGATTAAATGAAATGCATAATGTTAACAATGCAAGCATGTAGTAGTTGAAACAAAACAAAAAAGTGAACATGTATACCGCGATGCCTTACCTGATTCTTCTCTCCAACGAAGAATATATCCGGTGGCACTTTGTAAAGGACTCCAGCCCAGCCGCACAGAATCCTGGGTAACCTCTACCACTCGTAAAGTTGTGGTAGGCAATGAAGGCGGGGTATAATCACCAGCTGTGTGCATTCAGATGTAGTCAATTTATCCCCTTTATCAGTCAGTTTTGTACATTTCAACGGTTTTCTGTGAAATTTGAGATTTTGCAGCAAGGCTTCACAGAACCCTGCATATTCCTGAAGGTTTATGTTAGCACCAATCAGTATTTGTGAATTACCTCTAAAACACATTTCCTGCAATTATATCCAAAAGTCAGGACTCACGTGTGGTAACGCTGACAGATACCGGGGCTCCCTCTCTGTTTTGGACTAAAGCCATGACCTGCACCTCATACTGAACTCCAGGGTCCAGCTGGTCTAAATCCACTGCTGTCACATCTCCAGCTACCAGCTGACTCCTCTCTTCACCACCTACAGCAAAACACAGCAAGAGTGAGTGATCTAAGAGAAACAAGCTTTTATAACACCTTAATATCAGAAGAGACAAAAGAAGAAACAAAACCACACACCATCTGTTCTCCTCCAAGACACACGATAAGATGTTGCTCCCTGCATGCCAACCCAGGTGACTCGGACAACCTCTCCGCGGCCCTCCTGGACTTGCAGTGATGTCACAGTCCCAACCGTGGACTGATCTGGTTCTGTGAGTAGGATCAGGAAAATACTAAGCATTGTTTACTTTAAAATATTCCAAGTAATCCACACTCACAGCTAGGTTTATGTAAAAAGATACACTTTGCACCTGTTGTTCTGGGTATTTGGCTGATCTAGTGAGATACCTGTTTTGACATCTAGAACTGCAGGAGTCCCTTCTCGAGATCCAGTCAGTGTAGAAACCTGCACTGTGTAAGCCGAATCTGGCTGCAGTCCATCGATAGTGTAGGTAGAAACACTGGCATCAACTTTACGACTAGTTTCGACTCCTGCAGCGAGCAGAATATTGTTTGACACTAACACATTCCTTTATTTATTAATCATGTATGTGGTTCCATGTAAATGCATTCATTTGCTTTTAATGCAAATAATTACAAACCATCATCACGGCGCCACGTGATCTTATACCCAGTTGCCCTCGAGGAAAGTGACCACGTAATGCGTATTCTCTGAGGCGTGATGTCAAGGACACGAAGTCCAGACAATAACCCACTTTGGGGATTGGTCTGAGTAGCCAGCGTGGCCACCTCTCCAACACGCTGATCAGCAACAGCTGCAACACCAATTATTAGTGCCTCATCTGGCTGCAGGCCTTCTAGGGTGAAGGCCGTGAGCTCCGCTCCCAGAGTACGGGATTGTTCTGCACCTACAAAAGGGAGAACATGGGGTTACAAAAAAAAATCTAAATTAATCAAGCTAAAACAGAAAAGAAATCTAAACGATTATTTTTATATCTATCTATCTATATATATATATATATGAGATAATATTTATATGCATAACACTTACTGTTGCCTTGTCTCCAAGTAACCCTGTACCCCGTTGCTCCGGTAACACCTGTCCAGGTAATTCGAATTCTCCGACTATTTGCATTTATTACTCTCAGATTAGTCACCCTTCCCACAACTTGCTCTGCAATCATTAATATAATGATTAATAAAATATAGCATCACGGTGCTTTTAAGGAAAAAAACAGTGGATAAAGCCTGAACTTCACAGAGGTCCATTCAGGTTCCAAGGTTTTCAAAGATAAAAAACAAACAAACACATCTGCCATTGAGTCAAGTGAATGTGATGATCTTTTTGTTTGTTTGTTTTTTGTTGTTGCTGAAATTGGCAGGTAAAAGAAAGACACAGGAGAATCAGAATGTCAGTAGCTTCCCAAACTCACCTGGTTTGATATTGACAGTCACCGGGTCTCCTTCGCTTTCTCCCACCAGTGCCGTGACACTGACACCATACGAGACCCCCACTATCAGGTCTCTGAGGTCAAGGGTCGTCTGGTTTCCAGGAATGAGTCGTACTTCTTCTGTTTGCGCTGACATGACATGAATCATACAGAAATGTTACCACCAATCATGTTTTTATTAATTTGGCAACAGAAGATATTGATTTGTTTTTCTTTTTAAATGACTAAGTTCAGCGTACAGTCAGTGTTCAAGATGATAACTCTGTACTGTGTGGCCCCGGCTACACCGGTCCAGCCAAGTCTGACAGTGCTGCCCAGATACTCCACCACTCGCAGGTTGGAAACCCTTCCCACTGGCTGTTCCTCTGCAAAATCAAGGGTCAAAGTGATTCCGGCACAATCAGCATGTTTATGACCCATACAGTAAATCCAAAATCAGTTTAGGGTTCAAGGCGGACCTCTGAATGTGGTGGAGACAGGTGTGGCTTCCTCACGACCTTCGAACAGGGTGTACAAGGTGAAGATATATTTTGTGTTTGGTTTCAGGCCTGTGAGCACAGAGTTGGTGGTGCTTCTTGGAAAGGACAGGCTCCGGACAGGGCCTCCTGAAGCACAAAAGAACAGTGAACAGGGATCAACTTTTTCTCACTCTATATATAATATCAGTGCAGTATATGCTTTCTATTTCTATTTAAAGTTGGGATATAATAGAATACAAAACTAAAGCTGGCAAAGTTGGGAAAAAAATCATAAGAATTAATTTTTTTAAATTTTGCTTTCATGGTATATGTATGTCTAACCTTCCCCCTCCCTCCACTCCAGCCGATACCCTTGAGAGGACTGAATGAGTCTCCAGGTGAGGCGGATAGAGGAGGGACTGGTGATAGCTGCTCTGAGGACCTGCTGCTCTTGACGCTCTGAGGGGAAAAAATAATACATTATGCAATATGTTTTGAAATGTTTGTATGTACATGGGATGGCTTATTATGTTCTGTAATTGCATCTTCTGTTTAGAATGGCTGCAGACTTTCCATTCTAAACCAATTTCAGTATAAATAGTGGGCGACAAACCCACTTTCAAGGTACATTTGCCATACTACAAATTCTGTTCTTGCAGAATTACTACATGCATGGACTCCTGGAGCTTTTTTACTCCACAGTCACTAATTCACACACACATACGTGCAAACACGCACGCACGCACGCACACACACACACACACACACTCTAAATAAGAGCAACTTATTGTTTTTGTATCTTGTGCCAGGAGGACTGAAAGACGCTTCTGCACTTAAAAAGATGCCCATGATTACTGGACACCTAGTCTACCACGAGAGCTACAGCCACACACAAAGATCTATTCCCAGACACACTTCATATGGTGTCGTGATAGATTATTATAAGACTGAAAGTAACTCCATCGAACATGAAACTTGCCTTCTTTAAACTTGATACAAGTACAATTTTTATAGGAGTAAATAGGGTAAGTACCAGGCATTTGTTGCGAATCAAATGTACTTGATTAACTGGTCATAAGCAATTGTGAGCACCTTCATAAAAAAAGACGTTCAGGTCTGTTTTAACAGATTCTCACAATCTTCCCAGGACATCCTAACAAATTCAACCCCAGGTCAGACTGTGCAATGCTCAGAGAAACTGCAAAAAAAACAAAACCTCAGTCTCTACAGGCCCCAGCTAGCATGTTAAATGAAAGTTTATGACAGTATAATCAGAAAAAGATAGAACAAGTATGGGTTATTTACAAGCATTGCCAGGAGAAAGCCTCTTCTCTCTAAAAAGAACATGGCAGTGTGGCTTAGGTTTGCAAAGTTGCATCTGAACAAGCCACAAGAACTCTGGAGCAGTACAGTGCACCACATTTGGTGACAACCAAACACGGCACATTAGCACAAACATCTCATACGAACGAACGGTCAAACACAGAGGTGGAGGGGTGATTTTAGTCTCTTTTGACCAAAAGACCTGGCCACCTTGCAGTCACTGACTCAACCATAATGCCTCTGTAAATCAAAGTATTCTAAAAATAAAAGTCAAATTTGAGGCCATCTGTCCAACAGCTAAATTTGGCCATGCAACAGGACAAACACATCAGCAAAGCAACAACCAAATGTCTGACAAAAGACAATAATCAAGGTGTTGCACATTATTCTTTTTGATATAACTGGATATCTGAGTGGCTACAGAGCAAAAGTGAACATGAACATGCATGCCACTCTTAAACCATTGAAAATCTATCATTTGTACAACAGCCAGTTGCAGTATGTTAGCCTGCATATGCAAATTGTACACGTTTGTGTCAAAACAGATCTCCGTGGTTGAGGAATCTTTTGTGAAATTGCACTAAAGCTACAGTGTCAAGAAAGCAGTGTAATGATTGACAGCTAAGTAAATCAGTAACAGATTTAATACCACACCTCCGCCCTGAGGCTGTCAACGTAGTGGACAAGAAATCATCACACAGGTCGGCAGCCACGAGACAAACAAACACGTTCTCTCCAATGCTGTGAATGAGCACTTTTCTTGTAACTGAACTGCAACTACATCGATGTGTGTCCAATAAAAGGTCCAGAGGTCAAAGAAAAGTTTGATAACGAAAAGGTAACTTGAAGCTTACACACACAAAGTGCTTTAAGAGAACATGTTGTATACATCTTAGCTCTCTGATGGCAGAACTGAGCCACAAAAAAGTTTCCAGTTCTCCATTCCCATCACTCCACTGCTCAGTGTTGTGTCCCCACAGTGACTCAAGTAACACTGGTCCAAATGAAGAGACAGCATATGGGAACTGCTCACGAGAGGCAGATGGTGTGTGTGTGTGTGTGTGTGTGTGTGTGTGTGTGTGTGTGTGTGTGTGTGTGTGTCTATGTGTGTGTGTGTGTGTGTGTGTGTGTGTATCTGGGTGTGCAGTGAGAGATGAGGGTAATGGTCCCATTCATAGTCTAGGAGTCTGAGGCGATGCTTAACAAGGAGTAGCTGTCTTGAGAGTGCTAAGCCTAAGTGCAGAGGCTTCCCCACTGCAGCTTAGGATAAGGATATTCAAATGGCTTAAAGATTCA